AACGTTACCTAGATTGTTATGGTTAATTTTTAATTCTCTGTATTGTAAAAGCGTCACTGTAGCATATGTGTATGCTTCACTCAATAACACGAAGAACAATGTAGAATAAAAACTTGCTAGCTTATATTCAAGAACACAAATTACAACTTTAGAAATATAAATGTTCAGATATACCTGTATGCTTTTACTATTCACATGTTTTATGGTTTACACTAGTCGTAGTCAATTATGTATAATATTTTTCTTGGTTCTGGATATATAATGTGCTGACTAAAAACTAAGACAGTGCTTTCCCCTCTTGTCGAGAAGGAAATGTTTGTGTTCAATGGGGGGGGGGGGGGGAATAAATTCTTGTTGCCGTTTTGTGGAGGGCGGTATATGAAAGTAAAGTATCAAAAACACCCGAATTTGAAGAATGGTTTTGAACAATATTTTGATGTGATTTTTAACTACTATGGTCTGTATTGAACACCGATATCGCCGATAGCTATCATCAAAAGACTTAGAATATCACATGTGACACCAAACAACAAATACATGAAAATTGCTGAAAGACCATTCTTTTGAAATCCTGTTCATATATTAGAATTTACTTTTCTGCTCAAGATCGTCACAAGGAAGGTGCGTTGGGTGCATTCGCACCCCTTTTAAAAAAATCTCGACAATATTATTTTGAATCATGTAAATACGTTATTCATCTGTTTAAAATAATACTGCTATATTTTGTTTACTTGATTTCGATTTCCGAAATAAAGGGACTTCCATAATATATCAGAACCCACCAAAATGGTACCCAATCATAAAAATGTTCTGAAAAGTGAGTACGGAGTATCCCTCCCAGATCCCCCCCCCCATCTTCCTTTCCAGGGCCCCGTTTTAAACAAGAGGCCCAGGGGCCACATCGCTCACCTGAGCACTGTGGCTAGGAAAAAAGGAAAAATCAGTTTAGTATTGTAAAGCTTAAATGCATAAGTGGTCCCAACCTAACCCTAGAAGGGAGTGGGGGGGGGGGGGGTATTATTGGAACAAAATTAAATCTACACTAACTAAGGATGCCTACGTAATTTTTTGACTTAATGTGACTTTTTTCTCTACAAGTTTGAACTTTCATTGTGGCCCCACCCTACCCCCGGGGGTCATGATTTGAACAAAATTGAATCTACACCACCTGAGGATGCTTCCATATAAATATGACCAATCATTGCTTTGCTGTTCTTGAGAAGATTTTTCCTATATACTCTATGAAAACTTTGATCGTTTATTGTGCCCCCCCCTACCCCCGGGGGTCATGATTTGAACAAATTTGAATCTACACCACCTGCAGATGCTTCCATATAAATTTGACCAATCATGGCTTTGCTGATCATGAGACGAAGATTTTTGAAGATTTTTCCTATATACTCCTACGTTAAACTTTAATCGTCCATTGTGGCGCCACCCTACTTCCGGGGGTCATAATTTGAACAAACTTGAACTCACACCACCTGAGGATGCTTCCAAATAAATATTACCAATCATTGCTTTGCTGTTTTTGAGAAGAAGATTTTTAAAGGTTTTTGCTATATATTCCTATGTAAAACTTTGATCGTCCATTGTGGCCCCACCCTACCCCCGGGGGTCATGATTTGAACAAAATTGAATCTACACCACCTGAGGATGCATCCAAATAAATATGACCAATCATAGCTTTGCTGTTCTTGAGAAGATTTTTGAAGATTTTTCCTATATACTCTATGAAAACTTTGTTTATTGTGGCCCCATCCTACCTCCGGGGGTCATGATTTGAACAAATTTGAATCTACACCACCTGCAGATGCTTCCATATAAATTTGACCAATCATGGCTTTGCTGATCATGAGACGAAGATTTTTGAAGATTTTTCCTATATACTCCTACGTTAAACTTTAATCGTCCATTGTGGCCCCACCCTACCCCCGGGGGTCATAATTTGAACAAACTTGAACTCACACCACCTGAGGATGCTTCCAAATAAATATTACCAATCATTGCTTTCCTGTTTTTGAGAAGAAGATTTTTCCTATATATTCCTATGTAAAACTTTGACCGTCCATTGTGGCCCCACCCTACCCTCGGGGGTCATGATTTGAACAAATTTGAATCTACACTACCTGACAATAATTCCACATGAGTTTCATCTTTCCTGGCCCATTGGTTCTTGAGAAGAAGATTTTTCAATAATGCAATTAATTTTTTGCTATTTCGTAATTATCTCCCCTTGGAGGAGGGCGTGGCCCTTCATTTGAACAAACTTGAATCCCCTTCACCCAAGGATACTTTGTGCCAAGTTTGATTGAAATTGGCCCAGTAGTACTGGAGAAGAAGATGAAAATGTGAAAAGTTTACGACAACAACGATGACGACGACGACGACAGATAACGGACAACTTTTGATCAGAAAAGCTCACTTGAGCCTTCGGCTCAGGTGAGCTAAAAAGGAACTTCCGACTAAAACCAAAACGTAATTTTGGGAATAACTTTTTTTACATTAATTAGAAAATGGTTTTAATCTTTGTAACAAAAATTTAGAAAAATATATCAATGCATGCAATTTTTTAAACAGAATCATTTATTTAGCAAGATTTTACAATCAACTAAAGTTTTGGTCTAGGCCCCAGAAAGCTGGTGACGGCCTCTGCTCATTGCTTTGATCTCAATATGGCTATTGTTGACGATGTCGCCAGATTGCATTTTATATTAAGTTATTGCATTTTTTTGTGTTCCAAATATTTTTTTCTCTATTGAAATAAACTCAGAGTTACAGACCCCGTCTAAATAACTAAATTTTTTTTTAGTTTCGTGGATATTTTTTTTACCTAGTCAGTGCATTAGAATCGATGATTAATTATGATCCATCTTTCAAGGTCACCTTCAGCAAACCGTGCCCAGACAAGGTGGTAGACGTTCTAAATCTAATTGCGTTCTTTTGAACTCACTAATGTGTATAGACTACATGTACATCAGCAATTTTGCATCCATGGTTACTTCTAAAAATATCTTACCGTTCACATCGTCCTATATTTTTCGTTCTTGTTTCCAGTGAAACAAGAGGGCCACGGTTCATAATGCCTACCCTTACCGAAGTCACCTAAGTATATTTAGTGTTCAGGCATACTATAAAACCTGGCCCCTTTGCCTCTATTTTGGCCTCTAATTTGGCTCCAAACCAATTTTTGGCCTGGCCTCAAAAGTTGGCCTGGCCTCAAATTTGGTCAGGAGCTAAGAAGGCCTAATATGCATGTAATTCCCGTGCGGCTGTCTTTGTGTCTGACGCTAAGGAGGCCTAATATGCATGTAATTCTCGTACGGCTGCCTTTGTGTTTGACGTCAGTGGGCGGGGACTATTGAAATTGGCATGTGAGGCCTCGTGTAATTTAAATCTTTAAAATCTAAATTTACAATTTTATTTCACAATGAAATGGAAATATAAGGAATCATTGTCTAGTTAGTAGAGTATGCCAGGGACATCAACGATAGTTGGAAACGTGGGATAATTTATGCATAACGGGCTTCGCCCGTTATGCAAATTATCCCACGTTTCCAATTATCGTTGATGCCCTGGCACACTCTACTAACTAGACGGTCCTAACTAGACAGTGAAAGCTTAAATAAACGCTCTATTCCGTTCCCTATTCACTGGTATACAGTGGAAAATGAGAAAGCAATTAACGGATGAAGACAGATACCCAAACAAACTTTGACTGAGATGAAAAATTTCATCTTTGGTGAGCAAAAGAACAGTTTACTCTTACAAGATATGGTCAGTCAGTTTAGTATTGAAGATATCAACCTTTCCAGGGTCAAGATAATTTCCTCTGTCATTAGTATTATACAAACAGCAAACAACGTTAATATCTATATACCTCTCGGGTGTTTACCTAGCAATATTTTGTGTCTAATTCTTCCTAATTAAAAAACGCCATTTTTTGTGATGTGTAATGTTGTATTTTTTTTTTTAATTTACAAATTGGCAGTAAATTCTAAATTTTAAATTTACAACATGACAATTAGATGATTAAAACTTGTAACCTATTGTTGAATACCACTCTCTTATAAGTCTACATCTAAGAAATCAGATAAGATTTGACATGCAGAAATTAATTTATTAAGTAATAGTATTGAATATATTTAATAACCACGTCAAAAAAAAAAAAAAAAAAAAAAAAAAAAAAAAAAAAAACGGTATTTGTCAAAATTTCATTTTTACATTGGTTATCAAACTATTCAAGTTTAACATCAAAGTAAATAAATTCTATATTTAAATATTTTTTCCTACAAGTACTGTAGGCAATGATTGGAATTGGTGCAAAAAATTAGTAATTTAATCTAAAATATAAAATAAATCAATAAAGAGATAAATCAAGATATAAAAAATTAACAGTTCTGCCAACTGATTCCAAGTTCCATAATCTGAATGTAGTTATCATGCAAAGATCATTTCATTTGACAATTTTAGAAATGGAAACTGATATGGTGTGTGACCTACAGATTTAAACTTACATTAACATATAATGCCTTCTCTTTGAATCATTTGCATGAGAAATGAAATTGGATTATGTACGTTATGCAAAAGAAAAAAAAAATGTTTTCAGGCATGAGTGGGTTTTTTTTTATATGATTATGACAATCACTTTTTTCTTTTCTTTTCTTTTCTTTTCTTTTTTTCCTTTCTTTTTGATTAATACTTTAAACCCCTTACATAGGATTTCAGGTGGTGTAATTGATTCAGTGTCACATGTTATAAAAACAGATTACAATAAAGTTCGGATACGTAAGTACTTTAAGCATAACAGTTTCATAACATTTTACACTTTAAAAATATGTTAATGGATAATAATAAGAACTGAATGAGAGTCTCCATAAGAGAAAAATATGTGGGTTTTTATAGAAGAAGTCACGATACATGTATAGGTTAATAAAATTTCAAGGTAGGTCCAAGACCAAACACTGCGAAAAAGTTGAAAATTTGAACCCTGAACTTACCTTCATAAGGTAACAAGCCACGATTGTTGTGCTTCGGGTTCTTCCTGCTTTGCAATGAACGTATACACTATTTCGTTTTTGTCTGTGCTTCAGAATAAATGAAACTCCCTTGTTTATGTATTCCTGTGACGGCGAGGCCACAAAATCTGGCGTAGGCAGTTTAAGTACTTCAACTCCCATAGCTTTCCACTCCTAGAATAAATAAATATCAATTATGAGGTGCATTAAGAGGTGGGGAGTCTTGGTCCCAAAGACACCCCCTCCCACCTGATGGAAAACTTTTAAAATTCCCCTTTATAGCTGATGCAAAGTCCAATAACTCTTATTACAGGCACGGAGCATCGGGGGGGGGGGGGGGGGGGGGGGGGAGGGGGGGGCTTGTCCCTCACTTTTTTCCAAACATAAGTTTTTACTATTGAAAATGTTCATTGAAAGGTCGCCCCACCCCCCCCTTTTTGTTGGATTATAGTCAAGTTAGGGTAATGTATGTACTACATATGGTTTGGTACTGAAAAAAGTTGGAACGTGCCACCCCAAGAAATAGGTCAAGTTTTTTCAGGTAAGTTGAATTTTTTTTTCTCTGGCTGCTCCCCCCCCCCCTTACTTTCAAAAACGATGCTACCTCCCTGTATTAGAATGCTGTCATACCCATTACAATTGATGCACAAAGTCCAGTAACTCTTATTAGAATGCTGTCATACAGAGTGACAGACTTACCTCAACTGAATTTGTGAGTCCCTCTGTTTCAATGTCTTCTGTGAGGGAGACAATAGCACGAACTTTTTCTTCTTCTACCAACTAAAACATGGCATGGTAAAAAAAGTAAGATACTGGTAATACTGTCATTAAATTTGGAATATAATTGAATATACATGTAGCTCGGCTAAATTTATCATTTACTTACTAATTAATTTTGTCTCCAAAAAAAAAAAATTGGTAAAGACGAACTTGTCCATTCGGAAGTAAGTGTTGACTAATTAACAATCGTGATTGTTTTATTTATTTTAGAAAGCATGATTCTTTGAGAAATTTAGAAAACATATCGCACGGAAATGTATGCCGACTGTATGGGTCGTGGATCTCGGGCAAAATTTTACAATAAAGTAGTTTGTAATTAATGGCATGAAACATATTACATGTTCAAGCAAAAACATTTTTTTTATAACTACTTGATAAATATGATTTTTCCAAAATAAATAAAACATTGGCTGCTGATATATCTACTTGTCATAATAGGTTTTCAATTCAGTGTTTGTAGCAGAGTAAAACTGTCCTGACTTTAAGTAGGGAGACAGAAGATGTTGAAACATTACAAGTCCTCAAACTACAATTTGCAGCTATATGGAATTTTAATATAAAAATAAAATTCCAGTTTCTAAAATTGAATCTCTTACGATGAATAAAAAACATTTCAAAGAAAAAAATCAACTATACTGAACATGTACATGTATCGTTATAGAAATAATTTGACAACCAAAAATATAACCAAATAATATACCTGTTCCATAGACCCTCTCTATCTTAGTTGGCAAAAATATATATAGTTTACTTTACCAGAGACATAAATAACAAAAGTCTCTGGCTTTATACATTTTATTTATTAGTTAAGATGGGGTGTGCCTATGAAATCTACATGTGGAGTCACATAAAGAGGCCTATCCACATACACTCCCTCCATAATTGGCAATCTAGCATAATGTTCTCCCCAAACCCAGTTACAATAACCTAAATTGGTACATGTATGTTACGGTTCTCGACAAACTGATGAGAAAGTCCATAATCATTTGATACCATTACATCCGTGATTACCATGTTTATCTGAACTTACGATCTTGTTCCAACTTTTAAGTGGAAGTGCACCAAGAATGACTGTTTCATCGATTCGATCAAACCATCTTCTGCTTGAGATGTAAGTCATTAATATATTATAGCCAAGTGTAGGGTAAAATAAAACTTTGGTAAGCAGTGACATTGTCGCAAAGTAAAATGAAAGCCCGTGAGGTTTACACGAAATTGAAAGTAGATCTTTTATGTGTGGAGATAGAAAGAATACAAGGGAGCGTCTATTAAATTATGCAATTGCAATATTTCTGTTATGAAATGACAAAATAATTGATTATGCAGTTAGACTTATTTAGTTAAATTAAAAAAGTGTTGTTTTTGTATGAGTAACAAATACCTTCATTCAAGCAGATAATAAAAAAATCATTGCGGAATCTGAAATATCGCCTCCATTTATTCTCCCTTCGGTCCAAAGGTGAACAACCGCGGTGTGCATCAAAACAACGACCGCGAAATGTCAGGGTTTAGAATTTTAGTTGGCTGCAAACGTGTAATTGATTATGCTGTAAAAGTAAGTATCTACAAAGCAGTAATCAGATCGTATGCTCCTCACATTTTCTTCTCATTATTTGTAGAACCTCTAGATGTCTCATGCCGAATTTCCTCAACCAGTTTATGTATTACAATGTTACAGGTTCGAGTGAAGCCAGATAAAACTGGCGTGGTTACCGAAGGGGTTAAACATAGCATGAATCCTTTTGATGAAATTGCTGTTGAAGAAGCAGTCAGAATGAAGGAGAAAAAATTGGCATCAGAGATTGTTGCAGTGTCTTGTGGTCCCCAACAGTGCCAAGTAAATAAATCATGATCGTCTATTGTAATTTAATTCTTACTTTCTAAATTTTAAGTTCTATTGAAATTTTTTAAATGTTTTATAGTAAGGGAGATCATTTTCAGTCTCAGAACTTCAGTCAATGTCATTTAGTATTAATATATGATTTCAATGCTCTACAAACTAAACAAAGGGTCATTATTGATTATATGTAATATGGCAAGGTAAAGGATTATCAAAATCAGTATATTTTGATTTTGGAATGATTGAAGATTTGTATTTGGTGATAGGTAGTTTTATTATGTATTTAATAGGAAACTCTAAGAACAGCACTTGCTATGGGTGTAGACAGAGCTATTCATGTCTTAACTGAGCCAAAAGAATATGAATCACTGCAACCACTTCATGTCTCAAAAATTTTGTCAAAGATTGCAACAGAAGAAAAAGTAGATGTTGTGATACTGGGTAAACAGGTATGTCAAAATTGATATATCTAAAAACTTTTAATATCCATTCTTACAGTAATGTAATGAGTGAAACATGTGGTGGACATGTCTTTAAATACCTGTATACCCTTCATTTTTTTAGGCTATTGATGATGATTGTAATCAGACGGGTCAAATGACAGCAGCCTTATTAGATTGGCCACAGGTACATAACTATATGCACTGGTAATACTTTTACACTAAACAATATAGTGGGAATAAAATTACTGTATACTGTATGTCAATTCATGAGTGAAAAAGAGCAGAAAAAAACTTGCTTTGGGGAATGGGGGGATAATATGAGGGTTATCTGTTGTTTACTTTATGATTCAAAAAACATGAATCAGAAAACTTTCTTTGAAATCTAATTTCATGATCATGAGATTTTGAGAACTGTTTAGTTTGAATATTTATTGAATTTGTCAATTTACCAGTATTCATGCATTCATCCCTTTTCAACAGTACTTGTATATAGGAATATCCTGAAGCTGATTTCCAGTATTTTATTAACCTGATCAATTTTACAGGCTGCCTTTGCATCTAAAGTAGAGAAGTCAAATGGTGATTTAACAGTGACAAGAGAAATTGATGGTGGCCTCGAAACTATTAAAGTGAAAGTACCAGCCGTGCTAACAGCTGATTTAAGATTAAATGAACCTAGATATGCCACACTTCCCAATATTATGGTATGTAAAATGAAAAAAAATCTAAAATGAAAGTAAAATTCAAAATTCATGGTCTGTATTTTTTGTGCTTTAAATTGATGTGGAGATTTGACCTTAAGGACTTGACATTTACTATCAGATATACTAAATTCCCTGCGTTTTTGCACTATAAAGATAGTATTAAGTAATTTGTAATTGGAGACTAGGAGTGTTTCAATCTTACATTATTATAAGAAAATATGTTGTAGTCTTACTTATATGTATCCTTCTCCTTATACATTATTATATTCTGGACAAAATATTTGCCAAGAATCTTTGGTACAATTATAATGTCAGAACTTTTTTTATGTGTGTAAAAATAAAAATGAAATTCTGTCATTATGGTTATACCAAAGATTGTTGGCAAATATTTTGGTAGGACTAGGTACACTTAAGAGGCAAAGTTATTTTTCGTTGTTGTCTTATTATATTATTCTGATATAGTCAAGATTCTTTACATACCTGAAAGAGGTATGGTTGTAGTAAATTTTCCTGTAACTACTGGTTATTAGTTGGATATATGTCTAAATATATCCTTTGCTACAAAAACTAACAAAGTTAAATCCTTTTTCCAGTGGGTTTTTTTTCCAACTCTTATTTTTAAATGAATCAACTTTATAATTTGTAATCAAAATTGACAGACTCACTGTGCTTGGAGCTGGTGTATTAAAATGCTTTGGGAAAAAAATTGCAATGTTGGTCTGATAGATCCATGTTAAATACTTGTATAAAATAAATGAAAGAGTTGTCAGAAAAGTTAAGGAAAAAACAGGACAGACAGAATAGCTTTGTTACAGCTATGTTAGTTGTTCCGAGTTCAATTTTGTAATGCAAAGTGAAAATGACTTTATTTCTTACTACATGTATACTTGTATATTTTATAAACTACTGAATACTTCAAAGCTGTAACAACTGAGATTCTGAGGTCTGATGATTTTTCAGAAAGCAAAGAAAAAGCCTTTAGTCACAAAGAAACCATCAGACTATGGTGTGGACACATCCCCTAGACAGGAAGTTCTTAGTGTTGAGGATCCACCAGTCAGACAAGCTGGACAGAAGGTGGAATCTGTAGAGGAACTAATGGGAAAACTGAAAGATGCGGGGCTAGTGTGATATCAGAATACAAGATTGGGGGATGTGTGAAAGAGGTAAACATGTTAGATTTGTTGCAACTGAGTCAATATGAAGTAGTTAAAAATTGATATCAAAGTGTACAATTTCAATATTCTTTCATTAAAAAGTATTAATTATTCATATATTATTTTATTGTTTTAATACTGGACTAAGAATTTCACACTAGAAACATGTAAATACATATGATTAAAATCATTTGAACTAATTCAATTTCCATCAATGGCTAATTTTTTGCTTCTGAAATATACTTAGTTTGAAAAATAATGTTTAGTGTAGTTGATGTTTCTGATATCTTGGAATTATCAGTACAAAACTGGCATTAAATTATTCATAAATAGCTTACTACAACATTGTAAATGTCTTAATTTTCCCTCTTTTTCAGAAAAAATACTACATAGTATGTGTGATAATCAACTTAAGGACCAAGGACAAAAATAATATATTGATTGGTGAAATTACTATAATTTATTTCTGAATGATAACATCAGACCACAGAGGATGCATAATATCTGAACAATCTGAAGCTTTGCATGAGGGTAATGAAATAGTATAAATGTTGAAGGGCATATCAAAATGTTATAGTTTGTAATAAAATGAATAAAACTGTTAAATTTAAATTTTGAATTTGATGCCTGTATACGTAGTTATTCAAGAGAACTTTATTACCCCAAGGATTTAAAATATGCAAAAACAGAAGCATTCGATTTTGTCATGCCTAGATGAAGCAATAAAGCATTTACTGATGGTAAATCATTAAACTTGAATATTGATAAATGATTTGTTCATGGCATTAATAATTGAGCATGAACCTCAGATAAAACTATTTTCTTGTTTAAATCTAACATTACTGATTTAAAGTTGATTCAAAATTTATTTTGAATGTAATTTGCATAAAAATCATTCCAGGGTGTTAGAAGTTGAGAAGTATTTTCACTTCATATTAAGAGCCAGCCAGTAAAGTACATGTATGCTCATTCACTTTTCTACGGGTTTTATTTTTATCATCAGCACAGAAAAATGTAATTTTAAAATGTTTCAACAATGTATATAAAAACTGAGTTAACTCAGCTTGTGCTTCATTCAGTTTAGTATAGAAATGGAATGATTCTGTATCTAACAATCTGGCAGTATTTTTCCCAGTCTGCTCCATATTTTTCCTTGCATCCCTGACTGTCTCGTTTTTCCCTGTCAATCAACAGCAGTAATAGAAAGAAGAAAGACAGATAGGGCACCACATGTCCGAAACCTGTATACAAGCACAAAAAATATGCATTACTTTTCAAATTTTGCAATGAAGTAAAGTTCACACATTGACTTATTCGCTGCACTCAAAGATGGTCTATGTTGAACCTGAGTTAAACTGTATTATGTCAGTTTCATATTCATAATAATATTTTTTTTTAAAAATGAACCAATTTTTCTTCTGTTGCAGTAATAATGTTTACCTGTACATAAAGAGTAACTTAAAGATATTAACATATCCCCCAGGTAATTTGGATGTCTACACATTCCCCACCAACCCGAGATCAGCAGGCATTTTCCAGATTCTGTTGGCATTGTCTTCAAGTCTTGTAATAAAGAAAAAGAAATTACTTAACCTACAGAATTACTGAATATTTTAAGAATTATTCATATAGCAAGTGAATATGGCAGTTTCTGTTATATACCCACATGCCAATGCCGGGTCATCAGGATTCTGTCGGAATTTATTTTTCTCCAGATTGCTGGCTCTGTAAATCCAGTATCCAGTTGCTGTGTAATGGTACAAGATACATGACATTGTATAACAATGGTAGAATTATAAAATTTGTTAGTAATGACCAAGCGATTTTATTTTAATTTTTCACAGAGGCATCTGTTTAGAAATAAAGATCAAAGAGATTGAGCATATTATAGCTAAATTTACAATGGTTTCTACATACTCAGTGCCATTACAAATGTAGATGATTATTTTTATAGGTATGGTACTCAAATACAAGTTCTGAAGCTTATCAGACAGAAGTTTCAGCACATTTTTGGAGAATATTTATGGTAGTTCTTTCAGGCACTTTGAATGCTTTTTTATCGATCTTTTCTGATTATTGTTGGCTGTTCTACATATTTTAAGGTCACCTGAGTGACCTATTGCTATCTGTTTTTATCCAGAGTCATTTGTGTTTGTCGGTTGTAAACTTTTGGGGCCTGAGGGGAGGGGCTAATACCATCAAAATTAGTGCCATCTTTAAAAATCTTCTTTACTCCTTGACATCAAACAGTCATACTGTTAGCATGATTGTAATAAGCATTGAGCTCTACCATAATTTTGAAATTCATGGCCCTAGGGTCAGGAGTTCTTGTGTTAGGGTGGGGTTTCATGGATTATATAGTGAAAATGCTTTCATTCTTTGAAAAATATTCCTCTATGCTCCTGGGTATTAAGCAGATAAACTAAGTGCATGGTAATGATGAACAAGTGTGCCTCTTCCAAAATTGTGAATTTTGCGGTCAAATAAAAGGGTCCTGGGGTGGGGAAAGGGGGGTGTGGGGCTCTTGTGATTATTTTAGTGAAAATTCATAGATTCTTTAAATGTCTTCTTCTCTTCTCATGGGTATTAAGCAAACAAATAAAGTGCATAGTTATAATGAGCAAGGGTGCCTCTTTGAAAATTGTAAATTTCATGGCACCAGGGTCAATGATTCTGGTGTGAGGGGTTCTGGGGATGGATGGGTGGGTGGGTACTCAGCTATTGAGTATTAAGCAAACCAACAAAGTGCATAGTTATAATGAGCATAGATGCCTCTTTCAAAATTATGAAAACCTATTCAAATAGGTGTTATCACCTATTCATTTTGAAAAGGTGATACCATTTATTCGAATAAGCATCACCTATTCAAACTATATATGAAATAACAACTGCTCCCAAGACTATACATATACTGCCTACATTTACTCTATACATATGATTAAGAAAATAAACATTTTAGTGTCTTTATACATAAATTAATGACAAAGAGAAAGTAGAGAAATAAATCAATCAATCAATAAAAATAGTAAAACTGACTGAAAGTAAAATATGTATACCTTCACAGGGAATGATAACATATGGTGTATTAAATATTGTCTTAGTCTAAAACACAGGGGGAAAGGGCAGTCCGAATTTGGAAGTATATGTGCAGACTAATTAGACATTATTTTGTTGATCCCTGATCATCCTACTTCTCTTGCCTTTGGGCAACATAGCTTCATCTATCAGTATTTTACTTCTATGGATCCTTTAAAGTGTTGTATTATACTCAGGTGACCGTTAAAGCCCTTGGGCCTCTTGTATTTCTACACAAGGTTTTTCTATGTGCTAATTAATTTGTAGTTAGCAATTTTTACCGTAAATAACAAAGATTATAAGCAACGTCGTCCATGACGAAGAATATCCAGTTGTAGCCAAATATCTCGTTTGGGTACAAAATCCGAATGAAATCATTAGGAGCTGCATGGATATGTTGAATCCAAGACCTTCATGTACTATGTCACGTGACACAAGAATCCCCTCCTCAAACCAGAAGTAATCCAGTACATAAAACAACTGGATTAAAACTAACAGAACCAAGTTCGGAGAAACAGACATTTTTTTCTCTGCGAATGCCAGAATCAAGCTGACAAAGTTCATCAACATCCAACCAATGATTCCGCTACGGAACATGACATACTTCAAGTCAACTTGTCCAAAACGAGGATTCAGTTCTCTTCCAATGAACCAATCGTAAAACATGTGACCTTTATAAAAGACGATAAAGTTACGTATGTTGATGTTTATGGTATACATGCAGGCTTTGAAGACATTTAACAGTTTATTAGTTGGTACCTGTTTTCCCATTTGGATTCAGCTTCCAGTCTTCCACATACTCGGCCCTGAAGTATAATACACAACTCAGCAGAATACATGCTAGGATCCCGGATGTTAGCAGATGCAACATGTTCTTGATCAAGGTGTTAATGGGTAATCCAATGAAGAAGGCAACGATGAGACCAAGAAGATTTACGTCCAATACAAACAAAGCTGATGCAAGGGAAAAAGACAATGGGCAATTTCAGATTACATGTATATACGTACATGTAAATGTGTCTAAAAATACATGACATTATATGGATTGTAATAAATCTGATGTACATGCAGATTTATTACGGTCTATTACATATTAAGTTTACCATTCAGTCGATACTCCAATTTATTGCCTCCTTTTAGTGCTGGTCCATGGCCTTTTTTCCCAACTGGAACAGTATACAGAAAAATCTGTACCATGAACCATGCCATCAGCCAAAAGGAACTTGTCAAGTCGAGCCAGTGTCGGAAATCCAAACTAATTTTTGGAATCCGGAAAAGACTCCACTCACCCTGAAGTTATAACCAGGTTTCGTTAAAGGTACAAACACAAATCCTGAGTGTATGAAGAACTCAGTTTACGAGGTTATATTACAGATAAAACACATTCTGAGCTTAATTTTTTTTTTTGCCTAGCTCTAGAAAAAAATGCCTTATAACTAGTAGTTTAATTCGTGAATTTACGATCAGTGTCATAATATGGTAATCGATCAGTATGTTAATAAATAACATGCTTAGCCTTTCTTAAATATCTTATAGTTCGTAATGTTTACAATCACATAGTTTACAAACACATGCATGCATCTTAAGGTGATTTTTACTAAACATACCCAACACCGACAAATAATGATATTTTTTAGATCATCTTCATTATATCTGAAAAAAAAATGGTTGAGTGCCATATACGTGTGTTAGATTTTGTAACACTCTTACTGTGACACATTTTTCTGCCTGATAGTACGTCAAGCAGATGAAGAAGATGGACAGCCCAGCTGCACCCCAAGGTCCTCCCATTTCAAATTTCTTTCCATCTGTATCACAAAGATGATAAAAGATAAAAGACAATTAAGTAGATTAAACGATAAAATGCTTTCTTTGTTAGTATGCATATGGGAATTTACGTTGTAGCTGTTGCAGAAAAAATACATAACCAGCGTACGTAAGCGTAATTCCCTTACTAACAAAGAAAGACAATTTATTGTTTACTTATACATGTATTTATGTCTGTATAAATAATCATATAAAGTAGGTTTAAGTATATATTAAATATTGTGTTATTGCTAAGTATATCAATTTACAATGTATAAGGCCTGCCCCTAAAATAAAATTTTAATATTTTGATAGGTTGTGATCTAAGGAATAATTTATTATGATAGTATTTGTGGGGGGGGGGGGCACCCCTGCCTTAAGTCGAAAATCACAAAATAGGAAACCTGTTTTTGACTACCTGAGTAATCTTTATACCATCTATTTTCATAGCCAGAATATCTGGAATGGTATAAACGCTGATTATTAACACCGCGGGTACGTTTTTAGAGTCGTGGTTGAATCCACCTGAGTCTAATTGTGCTACTTTATTAACCGACCTGTTTTTATATTCCTTTGAAGCAGAATTTTTTCAAAACTTCTTCACGATAAGAAGAAAATTCTTGCTGAGGCTTTCCACTTAACATTTAGAAATATCGGCGACGTTTTAGCAGTTAACAATTATAGTTACTTTCATTCATATGTCGACTCGATATATCCCAGTGAACTCGAAATTAAAGGCACTAGAGTCTGTCACATTTATTTCATATTTGGATGTTTTACTGACTATAGACGACAGGCCCGTAGGAAGCAATTTCAGTTGGGGGGGGGGGGGGCACAACCAAACATTTTTCAGTTGACAGTTGAGGGGGCACTACCAAAAATTTAAAAATTTCCTGACAAGCAAAAAGAAAATCGACTACCAAAAATTCCTTGACAAGCAAAAAAAAAAAAAAAAAAAAAAAAAAGGTCATCAGACGTTTTTATTGAGGGGGCACAAGCATATAATATCTATGTTTACTATAGTAATCTATATATCGGCAAAATTATTGGGGGGGGGGGGCACGGCCCCCCGTGCCCCCCCCCCCCGGGTTCCTACGGCCATGGACGATAATGGCCAGTACATGTAGCTAAACTGTATGACAAAAGGGATGACTTTTCTTATAGCAACTTCCCTTGTAGCAATATTCCAACATCACCTGCATGTGGTGTTTATGTCTCCCAACTGATTCGATACACAAGAACATTCGATCTCTGAATACGATCAATTTTTAAACCGAGACAAGCTACTGACAAATAAGTTAATGTTACAACCCCGTTTAAGCCAACTTTTTGCAAATTAGAAACGGTCGTTATAATGACGTTGATTGTAAATACAACCTTATCGCTGGGTCGTATTAAATCTGACATGTTTCATACCATTTGTTAGGTCGACGTCATTACTTTTGTAATAAATTTTACCATGGAGTACTCATCTATCTGCATGATCAATAAATTGGGCTCACGGTGAGTGTGATCGGTCAACAGGGGATGCTTACTTCTCCCAGGCACCTGATTCCACCTCTGGTGTTTCGAGGGGTCCGTGTATATGTCCTGTCAACGATTAATATTCTCTGTGTTTATTGGATTTATGAGATTGATCACTGTCCGTTATCTTCACCGATTACATTTGATTGTTAATAGGCTGAAAACGGTGTAAAGAAGAATTTTGACCCGGGTTGAAAAATGTCCCGGGGTTATTTTTCAATGTTGAAAATTGAGATGGACAGTGTAGAATTCAGATCCTAGCTACCCAGTTGAAAATTGAGGCGTATCGTGGAAATTTGATCAAGAAACGGGGCCTAAATTCAACAGCATAAAATCTAATTAATCCGTATATGTATTATACACTGATGTTCCAATTAAGATTTATTCATTTAAAAATTATATATATTTGCATTAATATTTTACGAATTTATTTTTAAGATTAACATTTACATTTTCGATCCTGCCCAAGCAGTACTATAGATATTTTGCCAAATATCCTCGTGGGTAACTATAGAGACGAGAAAATCTAGAAAACACGATTTGTGTCAAATCTTGCACAAACCAAGCATATGATTGCTATTGTTTCAGAGATTGACCCAAACATTTTCAACGTCTTGTATGATAATATGCTGATTTTGAAATCAAAATTATGTCTCATTAAAAATATGTGTGAAAAGTAAATATTAAAAGAACACCTTAATAAGTCAATTTCATATTTTATTTTAAGTAATTCAACAATTTGAATCATGCATTTTTCCATCGTTGTGAGGATTGTATTTTTTTTTTTATATCAAAATGTCTGATTTTATTTTTTATCATCTCTACAAATTTTGAGAGGTCACACGAAGTCATGCGAAAATATGGAAATGACAACGGCACGACTCTTTTCTGAAAAGCGAAATAACTGACAAAAAAGTGACTGGTAGCCCTTTCCATTACATTTTTTCGTTCGATCGATCGACCGACTGATTTATTTATTTATTTGAAACAAAAATATTTTCATGGTTTAAAAAAAAAAATACCTATTCATTATTTGGGTGGGCTTTGGTGCATTTTGCACATTACTTTTCAAACATTGATTAAACAAAATGTAGCAGCATTAATTTGAATAGATGAATATTGAATTTATTTTGTTTCAAAAATATTTTCTCTTTCTCTCTCTCTCACCACCACCCCCATCCGACAGCGTTGGTTACTATATAATCTCAAAATATGATAATTTGAAAAAAAAAAATAGTAAAAAATAGAATACAACATTGTTTTATTTAAAGAGGTGTTGTCAAATTGATAACATAAAGAATAAATACATATAAAGATGCTGGCGAAAATCTTAATTTCATGTCAAATCAAGTCCAAACCATCCCCCTTTCCGTATCAATTCGCCTCCCGAGTGTTAAATTTCTTCCGATGCCTCCACACGGTATGAACTCTTAAACTAAACAGGACAATTGATCAAAATATTGGTGCTAAATACATACAAGTAACACTGTAAATCTGGTTATTTTTGTTGTACAATCTAGCCGTTCATTTGTCGCTTGTATAATAGCGGTATAATTGATATAGACAAAAATACAGGCATATACCGAATTTTGTTCCAATTTTGGGGAAAAAAGCTGAACCCATGCGAAACTTTCCTAGGTATTCAGTAAGCTGTATTCTAATACAGGTCCGAAAGGAGAGACGATAAAGGAGTCGTGTTCAGTTTAAATATAGTTGGAATGCTACAAGTTTGCTGATGTTAGTCCTATTTTTATGAAAAAACAATCTAAGGTACACTTCAGGATAAAAGAATTGACATATAACTAAAGAGTGAATGTTTTTCTTGAAAAAGTCAAGTTTCAATATTCATGCTGCTTGTTTATTTTCTACCGAACATGTATTTATGCCTGGATTTTTCAGCTTTGCGTTTTGAATCTAAAATTGATTGTTTGTGATTGTTTGCTATATAAAATTTAACTCCAAAATTGGCTTAAACGGCATATTTACCGAATAAGCACCATTTATGGCATGAATGTTGGCCTATAGGTCAGCCCCAGCACTGAGTTAAATTATGATATTTTGATAGGATGTGATCAAAGGAATTATTTATAATAGATTTTTAAAGGAACATGCCGTTGATAAAAGGCAAGAAACTGTATTTGACGACCTTGATCATATTTAGATGGGTATGTACTACTTTTTCATAGTACACATAGCTGGTAGCATAAATAGTACGACTGTATGGTTAATACGCTTTTATAAGAGCCGTGGTTCAAATCCACCTTGTGCCACACACTTTTACCGTTTTGAATTATCACCTTTTTTAAACGCCCAATAAAGGATCTTTTGCTTCAATTATCTATCTTATATGTAAATGCATATTCACTCTTGATATTAAAGGTAATAAAGATAAAATGCAAAACGTAAATTTTCTGTAAGTGAGTGAATTTTTCAAAAAAAAGACCAAACACATATTTTTCAACCTGTACTAAAAGTACAGGCAATGGGAATAAATTTATATGTCTTAGCATATGTCTTTTGATAGTGTCTAAATACTGCCAAATATCTCATTGATATCTCAAATCACAAAAAAGTTATGCCCAACAATGATGATAAAAATGTCGGGAGTGCAACGCCTTATTGTGACTTTTTAAAAATTCAATATTTTTTGAAGATCTAAGAAATAAAAAATAATGGTTTGTGGTGGAAATACTTTCCTGATAATATTCAAAGTATTGAGTTTTAAATGTAGACTGTAGCAACTTTTATTTGACCAAGTTGTGGCCATGGCTGATTATGAAAAAAAATGTTATACTATGTCAGGAGTGCAACAGAAAAAATGTAGTGTTGCCAAAAAACATTGATTTTAAAACTCTGAAAGACAAGTAAGTCAAAAAAGAATTTTTAAAGTGTAAAACAATAACTGATATACAATTCAATACGTAAAAATGTTATAAAAATCACAAGGAGCATTAATGAGAGTCAAGTATCTGTGCATACCCAATAATGTCAGGAGTGCAACATTTGATGTTTTGTTCCCCAGCATGAAAAAACATTTATCAGTATGATTCTCTTATTTTTATTTTGGAAAATAAAGACACGAAGACCATTTTTACCAAAAGGATTTATCAATTACAGGGTATGTCTGTGTTTCAGATCTATATTTCTATGGTCAGGATTGCAACACATTTTTTAAAAGATTCAAGTTATATGATGAAAAGGCTTCTAACCATGCTAAGATGTATTCTTTAATTAATAACTAATTTATTGACAGTTTTATTATTAAAATCCTTTTCTTATTCAACTTTATCAATTCAAATGTGCATTTACCTTTTCTTTGATTTTTTAAGAATGTGAAAAATAAGTACACTGAAAAATTGTTTTAAAGTTCAAGTAATTCCACCTCAACTTCACTAAAACAACTACATGTATGAACAACTAGAACAAGTTCTGATATAATTTTTGCTTCACAATTCTACTTTAAAGACTCCCTTAAAGAGCTTTTGGTCAGGAGTGCAACAAATATGTTAGAATTATTGCTGATCAAATATGAATAAATATAAAGAAAAAAAATGATGAGTAGAATGTTTCTAGTTGACCTCAGTTGCTTACAGTGTTTGTCCCTTTGAAGGAATATATATTTATAAAACATATTTTATCTTCTAAAGATATATTTTAGCAAGTTTTTTTTTACATAGATAGGGAATAATTCAAGATATAAAGCCTAGTTTAAATACTTTCATGTGTTTTAATTATGAAGTATTGGACTAAAATATTGCACAATTTCGTTACCACTTGATATTGCCAACACTTTATGAATTTTTGTGATTTTAATTTTTAATTTTACTGCAGTCAGGAGTGCAACAAAACTGTTTTATAATTATCAATGATCTTCATCTATCTTTACTAAAAATAAATTGAAAAAAATGTTTGATACTATTTGATGTTCAAAACATTATGCCTATTTACTAATTACAGACATTTTACAGTCAATTCAGAGAAAAGTTCTCATCCATTAACACATATTTTTAAATACAATGTATATATATTACACATTGCAAATAACCATGGTTTGAAGTCTTGAAAATATGAAAAACTTGCCGTAAAAGATAAAAAATATCAAAACAATGAACTGATTTACAAACTAAGAATGGGTTACTGTGTGTTGTGCACTCCCATCGTGTTCATAGTTAATGTATATCTTACATCAATGACATGTTTTAATTATTTCAATGGAAATGTTTTTGCAAGTAGGTTAGGGCTTAATAATAGAATATCACGATGCATTCTCTGCCTTCACTACTAGACATGAAGTCATAGTGGAAAACGACGTCAAGCCACTGCCTACTTGAGCTGATATGAGTAGGAGAGTACAACGAACATTACAGTTAAATTCATGTAAAATGTTTTAGTGCTATTTCAAAACTCGAGTGTCTTAATTGTATTTTTAAGTCTTAAATATTATATGTCTGAATATTTAAAAAATACATCGCTTTCTTACTTTTGATTGAAATTCAGCGTGTTCAAAATGTTTACGAAAAATATTCTTTTGAAATGAACTCTGTTTTATACCCTTGATTAAAGAAAAAAATTATGTGTGTATAAAAGATCCTGGCGAAGGCAATTAATGAGGATTAATTTAAGATCTTTTGTGAAAATCTATATAAGAGGAGTTTGTTCTCTAACTGAATCTTGCTTGGGAAATATGTGTAATGGCTTTGTTTTAATACAGATTACGATATTGTGTGGAAATGTGTCAGTAAGTTGAACTTCTCATGAAATATTTTGTACCAAAGTAATACTATGACTTTTCCCAAGCACATTTCGGGTACACAGGGATACTATGAGTTTATTTATATAATAAACTGTTAATAATAATTGTGTTAATCGGCAGCGCCAAAGCGATTTATGTGAGGTACATGTACTTTAAAAACAAAATTATAAATGACCGTCACGTGATCAAAAAGTCATGTGATATCATACCAAATTTGTCAATATATAGCCGAGGGAACCCTCTATATAGATAGCTGTCTTTAAGTACATATCTTACAAAATCAAAACCGACCACACAATGCAATATTATATTTTGAACACATTTTAAATTTAAACCTTCGAAGAACCTTAACATAGCAGCGATGTAAACAGATAAATTCATATGTAGGAAATTAACAATTACAATGAAAAGTAAAATGAAGAAAAATATCAAGTAACATTTGGAGATATCGAACTCAAAAAGTTTTCTATGATAATGACTCCCCATCTCTACATACTACATGCATTGTTTAGGACTAAACCTATACTTGAGAAGCGAATTACTACATGAATGTAGCCTAAAGTCATCAATTGACGGGAACGGAAAACAATAAGATTTTTGTAGGATAAAACCAATCCTGCCTTTTTTTTTTTTTTTTTTTTTTTTGAAGAGTAACTTTTGAAAGTGATAAATGTAAAGATACAAATAAATTATATCATTATCACCTGCATATAGTGTTTATGCCTCCCAGCTGATTCGATACGCAAGAGCATGTTCTACGTACGAACAATTTCTAAAACGAGACAAGGATATCAACAGTCTCGTTTAAAGTCAACATTTCGCAAATTCTATGGTCGATACAATGACCTTGTTAGCAAATACATTCTATCATTAAGTCGAATGTTGACTGACGTTTTTCATACAAATTGATTGGCCATTATTTTCACGCTGAATTGTCTACAGTTTTTTTTTTACCGTTTGCCCGATCACACGGCGGGTGTGGCAGGGCGACAGGGGGATGCTTACTCCTCCATGGCACCTGAACCAACCTCTGATGTTTCTGGAGGTCCATGTTTGTTCTCCTCCCAATTTTATCGTTCAAATGGCCTTTTGAGCTTGATTTTATATTTCCTCATGTACTCAACATCCAGATCGAGCACAATTAAGATAAAACACTGTATTTAGGGTCTATACACATGTATTAAACAGGGTCAATTTTCAATTTACGCGTATAGGTCGTTAGTACTTAGAAAAATAATAAGCAAGGTGTTAAAAAATGACCCCGAGTATGAATTCCACAACTCTTGGTCTCAATTTTCAACGGAGGAAAAGCACATCAAATCCATATTCAACGTTGAAAAATGAACCCCCAGCCAATTTTCTACCCGGGTAATCGGTTTTCAAAAAATAAGGAGGAAATATTAAGTGAATGTATATATAAACAATAAAATGTTTTAATTTTCTTTGTTTATACTGGGATCAGCAGTGGAAAACGTAGCAGAAAATATTTTCATTACCCGCTTACCCGGTTTATATTTTTTTTTTCTGCAATATTGCAACCATTCGTGCCCGTTTTTATAAACAAGCAAAGAAAAAAATCGTTTTCTAAATCTGGTTATCAAATTTTGAATGCAGTGTCAACAAGTCAAAGTATTCACCACTGGTTTTAACTGGTTCATACAGGGTTGTTCGATTTAGAATGAGATAAATATGCAATTTTATATATGTTGTGTTGTATAGTAGTAAATGTAGTGGCTTTTATAAACGTATATAGTCAATTTCTCAGTGATATGCTGTACATTCATTTACATTGTCGAAAAATAATTCTCCGACACACACTTGGACCGGGGGGGGGGGGGGGGTCACTATCCATAAATCGAGTGCCTGTGGACAAGATCTTAAATAGCAGCTACGTACAGGGCAGAAAGGATGGGAAACGTATGCTCTTTTCCTACATCCCAACCCATTTAGCCAAATATGTTACCAAATGAGATCTATCGTACGATTTTCCTAAGAATTTCAAATTGATAAAATCAATTACACTAATAATATACTAAGAATACCCCCCCCCCTCCCCTGATTTGGTATATGAGGTTACTCTGTTCACGTTTGCTTACCTTTAGAGGACATATTTGCCAGGCAATTTTGATATTTTATCTAAATTTTGTCCTTGAGATAAGGTGAATAAAAATTAGGCCGGTATATTACAAACGAAAATTTATTCCTTTTCAGTTATTTAACTAATTCTAAGTATGAAAACACAACTATTTTACGTTGTAGCAGTTATTTATTTACTATGTTTTTTTCCCTTCTTCTTGTTTACATTAGATATGTCAAGTGCGTATTTACGTACGATGATGACACACATAAGCGTGACCTATTAAACTTGTTTATGAAATCAAGTTGTTTTCATCCGGTACGCCACCTATATCCGGAATGTTCTAGATTTACTTGTTATATAAGCACCGATTTTTGTCAATTAAGCGCAGACTTTAGAATAGAACGACGAAGAAAGCAGCTAGTTCGCAAACTGTAAATTCCATAACATTAGCTTGAAAAGTTGATACATTCTAATTGTTTACTTCTCGAGAAAAACGTGAAGCGGGAAATTACGAAAGGGTTATTCTTGTGATTGAAGTGCAAATCGATCATTCCTAAAGTTTGAATTGCAAATTTGGAACAACATTGAAACGTGAATAAATTCTGTGAATGGAATAGGACAAACCTCGCCAAACGATAAAACTACTGTTGGACATGTTGAAAGAGTTTCCGGAAAACAACAATAATAACGATTTGAATACAGTGACGATTAGCAAACACAGAGATTACACAAATATTGATACAGGGACTGCAAATCCTTGTAACAGTTACCATTCAAGCACATCAACTGTGTGTCCTGTCACCGAACTTTCGATGTATTATGAGGAGTGTGCTAAAAATCCAGAAATGGATGTTTCCGAGAGGATGAAGTTTGAAATCATTAGATACTCGACATTTAGCACTTTAAAGGACTGCCCAATTGCTTTCATGAAACTATCTAAAGCAGGATTCTACTACGATACTGCTGCAGAAGTCATTACATGTTTTCAGTGTGGTTATATTTACAGTAATATCCAGTCAAACGACGACCCCATGGAAATCCACTTCAGGAATTCACCTAACTGTGATTTCGTTCAAAAGAATTATGATGCTAGTCATTTAGCTTCAAGCGAAGCCAGAGCAGAGAGTACTCATTATTCAAATAGCGAAGGGGCCAGTGGTGGACCATCGGACATTCATCAATCAAACTCCTACCTAAGAGGAAATGCTTCTCAAAGTGATCAAAGTCGAACACAGACAGAGGAAGTACTGCAATCTTCTAAAACAGAAAACCAGTCTGTAGTTTCTGAGAATAACTATCCAAACAACACCAGTTCTTCTAACAACATATCTGCCTGCTTGACACAAATACCATCTCATTCAGCATCTAGTCATACATCAGGTCAGCCAAAAAAGGCCAAGGAAATATTCAAAGACCTCGGAATTTGCGTTGAAAAGCCCAAATATCCAAAGTATTCTATCTTAGCTACAAGAATGACATCTTTCAAGAATTGGCCCATATCAAATATTGTAAGTCCCGAGGACCTATCCAAAGCTGGCTTTTACTACAATGGTAAGAAAAAAATGTCTCTATGTAGTCCAAATTGTTAAAAAGTACTCGACTTTTGTTGATTAATTAATAACAAAAAATTAGGTCGAAAGAAGATTATTTTCCAGCTATGAAGTTGAGCAGAGATGCAGTCAGAGATTTCAAATATAATTTAAAGTAAGTGACTACCAAAGAAGAGAAATTAACTGATGGCTGCATCTATAAGTATGTCTAATCTGACCAATGGTAAACTTCTGTTCTTTTTTCATTTCATCATGTGTTAAAATCTTAATATTTTTTTGATTTTTTTTAAATAGGATTAAATGACACCGTCTGCTGCTTCTTCTGCGGCGGGAAACTGGCAGAGTGGGAACGGGGAGATGATCCTTGGATTGAGCATGCGCATTGGTTTCCCAACTGTGAATTTGTAAAACTGTGTAAAGGTGACAGTTCCCTCAATCATGAGCAAGATAAAAAAGAAGAGTTAATGGTGAGTACCTTCAAAATAATTACGGTTAAAAAATGGTTGAAAGAACATGAAAATTTGAGGAATATTAAAACCTTTTATTTATATCAGATAAAATACATACAATGTATTTTATCTGACAGATTTTATAGTGTGCACAGTGACGCGTTTTACGCTACACATAATTAAGAGGAATTGTACACAATGAGAAATCTGAATTGAAATATATGGCTTAAGAAATGAAAAAAAGAATTAAGAACTTTTTATTACTTTCTTGCTCTGAAGTAATGTGTTTATTCTGATTGCACAGCAACCTGAAGATCCATTCCAGTCTATTGCTTTCCAAAGTGTGATGGAAATGGGATACAGCAAAGAACAGATCAAGACGGTTTATAACAAAATAGAAAACAGAGGTAATAAAAATAGCCTTGTGTTAAAAAATGGAAAAGTCCTTGAAAATGATCTGAAGTTTTGAATTTGTGATAATATATGACATAAATGTATGTTATCTTTTTTTTGTAACACTAATTACTTTTGTTACGTACTGTGTGAGCTAACTAATTTTGGTGCAATGCTAAGAGATAATTTACATTGTAGAAAACATGTCTGCAGCGCAGCTGTTAGAATTATTATTGGATGCAGAGGATCAGGAATTAGAAAAGAACCAGTCTTCACAGAAATATCAGATTCAAGAGGAAGGAGCAAAATACAATGAAGAAAAACAACACAAAAAGCAGGAGGGAGCTGATGAATCAAACAAACTTGGTATATAAATATTTGTGTATGAATAAAATATGTGTATCTAATTAAAGTTAAAGCATACAATTTTTAAACCATAAAATTTGTTCTTAATTCCAGTCATTCAAGAAATATTTTTAAACTTATCTTTGCAGATCTGAAGACACTAGTTTCAGAATACGAAGAATTGAAAGGACAGACTACCTGTAAGGTTTGCTTGGATGAAGATGCCACCGTCGTTTTCTTGCCCTGTGGTCATATGTGTACCTGTGTCAACTGCGCACCTGCCATGCGCAAGTGTCCGATTTGTCGATCCTTTGTGAAAGGAACAGTAAAAGCTATATTAAGCTGAAGATACACAGTAAAAGTATCTGTTATAGTAATTATGAGTGCCAAAAAGAATCCAGCATAATCTTTTATATTTTTTATACATTCAAGTTGAGTTTCATCTTATTCTATGAATAGAAGATCTTTGTACATTATTAATTATGTTATGTTATATTTGTTTTCATTTATGAAAATTATTTTATTTATCTTACTTTTTGAAATTGTTGAGATTATATTTTTTGCAATAAGTATATGCTGTATGTGAGTGTCCAATTAATAATCTTTTTAACTGTTAAAGGTTACTTTAACAGTAAATATTTACTTGTGTAATTGTTGATAAATTTGTATTATGAAACTTGCAATGTCTAGAAATTCAATTCCATGTGCTTGATTTACTGATATTTTTGAATACTTATTTTTTCTAGCAATTTAAAATGATAAAGCTTATTTTACATTGTATTATCTACAATACCACTAAACTTGTTTTTTTTAAATTGTTATTTTTTATTTTACAAATAAACTGAGGAGAAAAAATAAATTTTGTTATGGTCAAACGGTTGCTTCCAAACTTATTCAATTATAAACAAACCTTACAGTGCCCTGATATTGAACATCTAAAACAAATCCTTTTAAGTGTTCTTCTTTTTTATTCAACTATAGATAGTTTTAGATAGATTTTAGCCAGAGTTATTTCCCGTTGGTCGCCATATTGGAGGTGTACAAGCCTGAATTCCTTCATTATTCAACTAATTTAAACTTGTCATACTGGGCAATTGGGTGAAGATAACACAATTTTTCTTATGAATTCATGTGAACACAGGCTTCCTTTAGCTTGTAATTTTAGTACATGTATTTTAAAGATTTTTGCCCTTATATTTCTGCCTTAAAGTTTAAAATTGGTTGCTCAAAGAGGAAAATTCGCTCGTTGGACCAATATGGCGGCCAATGGGAAATAACTCTTGCTAAATTCAGGCCTATCGAAAACTATCTATAGTCCCGCTGGACATGTCATTAACCGTGATGTTAATATAGTTGAAAATGACGACCTAAAAGCGATCATCTTAAAAGGTCCTAAATAGAGGGAGCATCAATGTTTCAATTGGCGATAGAACATTTCCATTATGAATTCAGTCGAAGATTATGCCAGGTGTTGGGTTAAATATGAAGAGGAAGACCTGAACACTTTGTCAGAATGGATTAAGTGTTTTAGAAATACATGCATATGAAAGAATCATATGAGAAAGTTAAAAGGCAATATGCATACCATCTATCCTTCTGTTTTCGCTAAATTGAAGATGATAAAAGAATCAGTCTATATGAACTATATTTTATGATTCCAGCAGACAAGTCTTGTAACAATATCGTTTATTTTTAAGGCTCATTATTATAACTGTATTTCAGAAGAATTCTAATTCTAGGTCTGCTTTTTCACGTTACTCACTTTTGAAAAAATAGTGATTTTAAATTTTCTTAAAGTTCTTTGGAGTTTTTGAGAATCCACATCTAAAATATGCTGTAGAAAATACGTCTGAAGTCGTGAGGAATGATTGTATAAAGTGTAGAAAGGTAGTACTTTTTCACGTCACTCACTTTTGAAAAAAAATAGTGATTTTAAATTTTTTAAAGTTCTTTGGAGTTTTTGAGAATCCACATCTGATTTACACCACCACTAAAATATGCTGTAGAATAATATGTCTAAAGTTCCTCCTTTATAGCAGCTATTCTTTGTAAGGAGTAAATCGGAGCTTGTTGGAGCATTTGCTGGACTCAGCAATGTATCTTGTTTGTAAGGATTTTTTTTTTATATAAAATTAAGTACATAATACAGTACTGGTAGGGTGGCTCGAACTCACCTTCGTTGACTGGAAAGTTAAAAGGATGAAAGACTGAAATGTGATGTAAGCATTTCATTCTTAGAAAGTGAACCGTGAGTATAAGTAAGTCCATACAAACAAAATACATTGCTGGGTCCAGCAAATGCTCCAACAAGCCCCCATCTTTACTCCTTACAAAAAATAGCTGCTATAAAGGAGGAACTTTAGACATATTATTCTACAGCATATTTTAGTGGTGGTGTAAATCAGATGTGGATTCTCAAAAACTCCAAAGAACTTTAAAAAATTTAAAATCACTATTTTTTTTCAAAAGTGAGTGACGTGAAAAAGTACTACCTTTCTACACTTTATACAATCATTCCTCACGACGAATTAAAAACTAGGTTTTTTGATATCATAGACAACTGCTTCTTCAACAAAAATGGAACTGGGAAACTTTTAAATCTTGTGTTTGGTCAACAACAAAATTACCTTGTTAAAAATCACTCTGATTTTACACACAAGTTACTCTGAAGTTGATATTAAAATCATGTTGGAGTTCTTTATTGACAACGTCATTGTAGTCTTTGGAGACCAGGTCTTCCAACAAACTGTTGAAAATCCGATGGGCACTTATTGTGCTTCTTTATTAACCGACCTGTTTTTATATTTCTATGAACCAGAATTTATTCAAAAACTTAAACATGGGAAGATGGAAACACTTGCTATGGTCTTCAACTTGACATTTAGATATATCGACAACGTTTTATCAATTAACAATAGTTACTTTCATTCATATGTCCACTCGATAGATACCAAAGAGTATCCACGTCTCATTCATATATGGATGATTTTAGTGGCTACAGACGAAAAGGGACACCTAACAACTTGTATGACAAGCGAGATGACTTCAGCTTTTTCACCCACAACTTTTCTTATTTATCTAGTATTATTATATAGTTTATTTATAGTCTCTATATAATCTATACAAACGCAAACAGTTCATAACACTACATATTCACTGGTTTTGAAGCAGTATTCACCGGAGGGTCGGTGCGCGTGCAGCAGCATTGTGACGTCACAATCAGCACCTCAAACAACGTTGTAAACAATGGTTGCAACGACCGGAGCCAGCCGTGTTTCTGAGCAGGAAAAACATTAGCCAAGCCTATCGCAGGGTTATTTTCTAAACATTTCGATGTCTTACAAACAGCAAAAGGAAAACACGGAAGTTATAATTTGCAATCTGGACATTTTTTTTTAATTTTTCTACGACAGAAGTTCGCAAATGGAAGTGGTATCATCATGCAGCCTTCAATGTCTTATTTATTCAAATCCGGACTATATAAACTATATAATAAAACAATTATGGACTCTTTCGGTGGTGAATATGGTTTGTTATAATAATAAACCATATTCACCACCGAAAGAGTCCATAATTGTATAATATTCCGCTATCACCTGGATATGATGTTTATGTCTCCCAGCTTAAGAGATATTCAAGAGCATGATGTAAGTACGATCAATTTTTAAACCGAGGCAGGCCTCTGCCATATAAGCCGATGTTACAGGGATTTGAAAGTCAGCATTTCGTAAATTCTTGGTCGGTATAATGACTTTTTTAGCAAATATAAAGTATCATTGGGTCGTATTTTGGCTGACATGTTTCATACCAATTGTTAGGCCCTTGTTTTTATACTAAATTTGACTACGGAATATTCCGTTTACCAGATCAATTCATAGGGTTTACGGCGGGTTTGGCGGGTTTACAAGGGATGCTTACTTCTCCTAGGCACCTGATCCCACCTCTGGAATTTCTGGGGGTCCGTGTTTTATGCCCTGCTCACAGATTTGTATTTTTATAGATTTTTTTTTAGATTGATCATTATTTTCACTTTTTTTTATTATGTATCTAAGTATGTACACTTGTTTGTTCTTATGTTTTTAAAAATATTTGTAAAAAAAATAGTCTTTGTGCACAATATCCCACTTTCTGTTGGAATCCCTCTACTATATACCACTTGCAGACTGAGTATTTTATAGTATTATGCCGGGGGATTCTTTCTCTAATGCAAAATGTAGAACATTTTAAAGTTATTCAAGTTTTCTTAAACGAATGTGGTCGATTTTTCTAAAATATCTTAGTTTTCACAAGAATTACATTTTGCCTATCAGAAATTAAACTTCACTGAATTTTAGTTTTTTGACACTACTAATGTATTTGTAGTAGACCAAATCATTGGACTTATATAATGACAGTGTTATAAAATTATATGCAAGAAGAGGACTCTCTGAGTTATAGAACTTATGTCTTATCCTTAACGATTTTGTAAAAAAAAAAAATATGTTCAATTCAATTCATGGTATTATTGCTTTCAGTTTCACCTGAAGGCCAACTTTGGTATATATATATATAGGAGATATCTTTGAAAAGATGAAATTGGCAAAGTTCGCAAAGATAGTTTCATCTAGGTACTATAAGAATTCAAAGGCATTAATAGGCAGATATAACCAAAGAAATAAGAGATTAATGGGTTTTTTTCCAAAACTATACAAATAGTTTACATTGCTCATTCGAGAATTTCATATCAAATTTTCTACTGCTATTTCTTTTTTTTTTTTCTAAAGTTATTTTGTTTTCTCGAATTTTCCTTCCCAGCATATAGTAGTCGTGTCTGTTGGAATTCTTGGTTAATCATCCTATTTTCATGTATTCTTTTTTTCCCGATCAAATCAAAAAGTCGGTTTTGAAAATTAATACCTTATGTCTATTATTTATCCTTTTTCAATGTTTACTTAAAAAAACACAGAAAAATATGTTCTTAATCTTTATTCTATGGCACAGTATACAGGCATGAAATAATAAAATAATTGAGAAAATACGTTCAACAATATGGTGAATCTACGTCTTAAAGATCTATAGCATCCATCTACAGTGTATCTTAGTGTATTGAATTAAAACATTAGCAAAATTTTGTATTAGAAAACTCTTCATTCGACAATTAAAACAACGTGTTGCGCAAGTAAGACAAAAAAGATTGAAAATGATTATTCCACAGTGAAAACTGAGAGATATTTATTGAAGTGGTGAAGATCATGAGGTCTGTAACAGAGTTGAAGGGCAAAAATATCTAAAATTTGAAACTTATTTGGTCATTAGGGGGCGTGCTATTCCAGTAGAAGCGATGTTTTCTGTTACACATTGTCTGAATTTTAACTTTTAATAGCTGATCAATATGCCAAATAAAAATTAGAATTATAATCAAGCATAGTCATTTAAAAAAAATCAAAGGATACTAAGTTCATTTTGTTTAAGATTTTATTGACAAAAACAGTTCTCTGAGGGTGGTACAGGAGCTTGAACATAACACGTAACCAGATTGAATTAATTTATTTTATGCATTAAAGATTCAGTGTTTGGCGAAATATCTCGACAGGGGATGCTTACTCCTCCTAGGCATCTGATCCTACCGTTAGTGTTTCCAAGGGTCCGTGTTCGTGCCCTTTTCACGATCCGTTTTAATTACTGGATTAATCAGATTGATCACCGTTATCTTTACATTTTATATTTCTTGTCCTTTGAAGATGAAAGTTCTTTATATTTAGTATAGCTGTCAATCGCTGAAGGTTGAAGAGCACCTAAAAACTCATATGCTCTTTAGGTAATTGATCAGACTGCTGCTAATTATATACAGACCACGCTTGAGGTCTTAATGAATATGCTGTAAAACTTCGCAAGGGAATGCTGGAAAGTATTGAGTTTAGTAAGCATAGTAGGTGGCTCTTTAGATTGAAAGGAGTAAAGTATTTGGCTATTAGTAATTATTGAAAAAAACACAGAGTAAATAGAAACCCTTAATTGCAAGTGTTGAGGTATTAAATGATATTAATTTCCCTAACAAAAAAATTACTACAGTTACCCAAAGTTAACTATAGTAAATACTTTGGTACTTTGAATTACTATGAAACTTTAATCATGGACTTTTTGGCATTTTATAGGGCCAAAAATATCTTAATATTTTTACACCAATGATAATAATTTTAAAATAATTTGTAACTATACAAGTATTACTTCTTTTTAATACGTTTATTGGAAAATTGCATGCAAGACTTGGGAAAATCAAATATGAAAATTTGAAATTCATAGTAAAAATACTTTGATATACTATAGTCAAAACTTATTACTAATGGTTAAAACTTTGTAATTATTAACTAAAGTAAACTATAGTTAACTATAGTAAACTATATAGTTAACTACATTAAACTGTAAACTAGTTTTGATAAGCTTGTCATGGTGTATCTTCTAAAGTTAACATTTACAATTTTCTTAATCAAATTGTAATTTCTCACCAAAAAAAATTCAAATAGATTTAAATGGCCATTCAGTATTTGTGAAAAAAAGTTTGCTCAATAAAAGGACAATTATTACTGAAGGGATAGCTTTATTTAAAAAAATCATTGTAAATGTATTTAATTTGATTTCTGAATGAAATGTGAAGTATTCGAATAAGCTTTAAATATATCACAGGCTTAATTTGACATGATGATAAATTTTAACCACAGTAATGGTTAACCAAGTTCACACTATGATTTTAAGCAATTGTCCTAAAATATTATCATGGAGAATGTTTTGGCTGTGCTACACCTTTTGACAATAAAGGCCCTTTCTCGTGCAAGTATAGTGCAGGCCAGACAATAAAATCTAGATATCCTCCTGTTTTGGTATATCTCCTTAAGATATCTGTGTTGAATTCCGTTCCCCGTCTGAATTCAAACCGGACAAACAAAGGTGGATCACGGATCTTCATTCTCCAACACAGGCTTGCACATTGGCGTGCATACAGCTTTGTTTTGGGGGACACCGAGATGTCCACGTTCTTCAGAATTGATGGAAGTCTCGCCAGAAACATCTAAATATTAATATAGGCTTTTGCATTAGCCTTCTCTTGACATCAAGTATTCTAGGCAGTCTGAAAATGTTGAAAAGCTTACCTTTTCTATGACTGGACAACATGCATTGCTCAAAGACAGCCTTAAATCTGCGAGGGCTTTCTGCACTGGTACATCAGCACAGGTGATCGTACAGGTCTACAATTAAAGATAGATCCGAGATACCGGTGCATATTTTTTATCTTACATTTCATGAAAAAAATACTGCACTTTTAAAAAAGCACTTGTTGGATTATTCAGTAAAGAAACATAAATTTTCAAACCTCTTCTGTAGTTTCATCTTGAAGTGTGAAGACTGCCTCTTCAATTTTTCTCCCATAAGTTTGTTCCGTGTGGACACAAAAATCATATGCATCCTAATTTAAAAAAAAACATACAATATGTTTTTTAAATCTATCTATCTATCTATCTATCTATCTATCTATCTATCTATCTATCTATCTTTCTTTCTTTCTTTCTTTCTTTCTTTCTTTCTTTACCTTCAGGATTTTTAACAGGACTTGAATAGTTTCCTCTTCGTTGTTGTAAGTATTGTTCAGTTCTTCAAAAGCGTCAGTCCACTGGTTGTCGTACAACTCGGAGAATTTCTCTGTTATTTTTGTTGGACGATTGGTGTCACTAAGGTCAGTTATTGCAGCGTTCCCATGTGTTAATTTTGCACCAGCTATTTTACTTAACCTGCAAAATAAATAGTGAACACATTAATACACCTTGAACTTTATTTTATTCTACTTTGTATGAATATTTAGTAATATTTACCTTGTTAAAGCGTTGTCTTTTTCCCTTGAAATTTCTTCAATTTCTTCGTGTAGCATGTTATTATCGGTGGTTAGTTGATATATTTTCTCTTTAAGGCCTTCTATTTCTGCTTGAGTACGTTTTAGTTGTAGAATTATCTCGGGCTTTCTAATAACGATAAAATTTTATTTGAATGCTTGACACTCAGAGCCTATATTGTATATTACTAGTATACATTTCATACAAACATAGTGACATTGCTTATAGCAAAGTTAAATGTACTTCCTTAATAATTCATGCTTAAAGCGCATTCATATATCTTGCACATTTATTACCAAGTGTTTCTTTACCTTTCGCTTGTCAGTCTTACGATCTCCTCTTGGAAAATGTTGAGTTGATTTTGAAGTCGTTTATTATCTTCTTGCAAACTCTCATTTTCCTTGTGCATTTCTGTGGTATCTATATAAGCCTGTTCCCTTTCTCGAAGTCTGAAATTAATTCAACGAACCATCACACTCAAAAGAAAGAAATTAAAATCAAAAATAATAAAGTGTCAGGCATATTGAATAGATAAGCAAATTAAACAAAGCATAAAAATGGTCCAGAAGTGGGAGATTGTTTGAGGGGGGAGGAGGGGGGTAAGGGGTTTCAAAGACCTTCCCCGTATCGGGTATTGCTATTCATTACACATAGATTACTGAAAGATGCAAAAGTTTAGCTAGGCATATATTATTTATCAAATCAAATGGACCAATGAAAATTCCGAATCAGTCTCTATGTCTTTGCATGTCTCTACAATCGCTACAGTCTCTACATACACATATACGTCTTCTCAGCCACTTTTTTTTCCTAAACACAGCCAACTAACCGTTTCTTTTAACTTTTAAGTTGTATTCGACACGTTGAAAGTCTACATTTTTATTTCTTAGTTTCTTATCGGCGTTTATTTTCAAAATAGATTTAAAGTTTAATCACTTTATTTGTATGTTAGTAACTTTAACTAGACGTTTACCTCTATATAGTATTTAATTATTACTAAGACTCTTTAATTTCAAATCTATTTACCTTTTGACCAAGTTGTCGTTTTCTTTCGATATTTTTTCAATTTCTCCGTTGAGTTTGTTGTTCTCGGCTGTGAGTTTTGATATCCTTTCTTGCAAGATTTCAGACTCTTTTTGAGTATATAGATCAGCTGGATGTTGTCTAATAAAGATAGTTTAGTTTACAATTGATACATAACTTTTATATGTATGCAGATACACCACAATATTTAGACTTTTTGCACTGTTTTGTACGAATGGAGGGAGGGGGGGGGGGTGAGAGAAGGTGGTTGTATCGAGAAGAATCTTGGTATATTGATTGATTCATATTGTAGAATTTGCTGTTGGTATTGGCGTTATGAGTTTTCGGTGGTTCCCTCTTTTAAACGCCATTTTCAACTAATTATTCATAATTTTGCCAGTGGAATCGTTCCTTTCTCTGACTCTTAACTTTATTAAGACTCTGAGCCATGTTTTACAAGAGAACTTTCGACTAAAACCAAAATGTAATTTTGCAAATAACTTTCCTTTTTTCGTTAACGTGACAATAGTTTTATTCTTTTGAAAAAGGATTTAGAAAGTTACAATTGCCTCAAATTTTTGGTCTTAGTCGTAAGTTCTTTTGTATAACGAACACCTGACTCTCAACTTTATTAAGACTCTGACTCTTTATTAAATACAACTTATTAGAAGATGATCATTGAAAACTATATATTTGGTTTGTTCCTTCGTCCCTTCGAGAATTTTTCACTCATATGGAGAAGCCACCACTTGCCGGTGGAGAGATTCAAATTTAGACTTGTATTCGGCACTAACGGCCTTTGAGCAGATAGGGATCTATTCTCCTCCCTGTAACTGCTGCAACACGGGACCTCTTTTTACATTGTCTCATCCAGGACAATTCGAACCTGCGACGTAAGGATCAACTCCTTACTCCGCGACTCTAGAGCAAAGTCAACTCTCGCGGGCGACCTATATTTGGGAGACTTGAGCCCATTTACATAACTCCTTTGTTCTTTTTTACTTTTAATTAATAACTTCATTTCTGCAATTTATTTCAATCTTTATTTACAGGATTTCATCGTGATTTTGATGTGATTGAGAACTCATGTGATATTTTATAAGAATATCCTTACAATGATATGAATTGACATTTCAGAACTACGTAGTATTTTTTGACTTTTGAAAAGTTTAGTGCATTTATATTATTTAAGTTTATACATGAAAATACATACTTACTTTAACAATGACCATGCTTACCCGAGTTTTAAACTTTGGATTTCGTGTTGAAGGTTACATATTTCTGTCTTCAAAGATTGCACCAGTTCCTTTTCGGTTTTCAATAGCCTTTCTAGTGACTCGATCCTACAGAAAAAAAAATGAATGCATGTTCTTTATATGCATATAATCGAAACGTCTTTAAATATATTAATAATTTTAATTCATATATGTATACAAAAGTTTCGTATATCATTAGTTACTTTTGTTGGGATTTCTTTATGCCGAAATTCTCCTGCACTTTATGTAGTTGTATTTGAAGATCTTTGATCGTATCTATTTTTTCTTTCATTTCTGCAGAATGAATCTGTTTTTGGATAACCATAGCGTGTTCCGTTTCCTCCCTCTCCTTAACAAGGATGTCCATTCTAAACGTAAATATGCAATGAAATTAATCGTATTTTCAAAATCAATTATTTGGTTGCATTGATTATAAATTGTGCCGTCAATTTGCAAACAACAAACAATTTAATGTAATACCCAATGAGTCATCATGAAACATCATCTTGAACATCAATAAAACATATATATAATCTGTCAATAAATTTCCCCTTTAAAGCAAAGTTAATGGGGGAAGGGTATAGCTCAAACAAACATCTTTAAATTTAAATAATTTTATACATAAATTTTAACCTGCTCATTTTTAAAAAAAAAAATATTTAAAGGTGGAATAATTACATAAAATTATGATTTATTGAATTAAGTTTTATACAGTCCTCAATCTGATGAATTAATTAAATAATTCATCATTTTTACATGTAATTACATCCAGGACTGTTTCAGGTTAAGAAACTAAAAATTATTAGTGAGAGTTAACTTCACGTTACTTTTGATTTTTTCTTCGTTCTCTCTCGATCCCTAGACTCAGAGTACCAATGATAACATCTCGTTTTCTCAGCTGTTCCTGTAAACTTCAAAAATATTTTCTTATTTAAATTTGACTTCTGGGGAGAAAAAAAGATCCAATGGAGTTCACGATATTGTTGAAATAAATCCATTTTTGATATGTATTTGTTCTTTCTGACTCTATGCAAACTGTAAACCAAAGTTTGGCATTAATCAGTAGATCACAAAAGAATTTGCGATTATGAATATAAAACAGGAGATAGAATATGAGGTCCAAGGTGGTCCCATTCTTGCCCATTTTCCAAACTCTAAAATTGAAAACAAAATTGACTGGCTCAAATAGTTCCTTTTTATTTCTATTTTATGCGCATTGTTTTTTTAATTCCCAAAGGCCCTGATCTGAAACAAACTCAAATTTAAATTACTTGAGGATGCATCCGTATATTAATTTGACTTATCATGGCTTTGTTGAATTAAAGAAAGAATTTTAATGATCTTCCTTATACATTCCTATGTAAAACTTTGATCTACTAATGAAACCCTACCTATCCCCAGGAGACATGATTTGAGAAACTTGAATGTTCAATACCTGAGGATGCTTCCATATTAATATGGCAAAGCATGGCTCTGTTGTTTTTTAGACGATTTTTTACCTATATATTCCACTGTAAAACTTTCATCGTCATTTGTAGCCACAACCTACTCCATGATTTGAACAAATTAAATTCATAATACCTGAGAAAGCTTCAATATAAATATGACTAATCATGGCTCTTTGAAAAGATATTTATTAAAGATTGTTCCCTGTATATTTCTATGTAAAACCGTGATTACCTATTGTAGTCCTTCCTATCCCTTGGGGTCATGATTTGAACAAATTTTGAACTACACAACCTGAGGATGCTTCCAAAAAATGCATTACTAATCATGACTTTGCTGTTCTTGAGAAGAGGATTTTTTCTTATTTATTCCTATGAAAAAACTCTGATTTTCTAATGTAGCCCCTAGCTTTGAGGGTCATTATTTGTATAAACTTGAATCACACTACCCAAGGATGCTTCCATTTACATGTACGTGTAATTATGATTAATCATGGCTTTGCTGTTCTTGAGAAGATTTTTGAATTAGTTTTCCTTTGTATTAATTTGTAAAAATTTTATCCCCTTTGTGACTCAATCTTTCCCCCAGGGGTCAGATTTGAACAAACGTGAACCTACACTATGTAATGAAACTTTTACTTAAGCTTTCTACTTTTCTGGCCCAGTAGTTCTTGAGAAGACTTTTAATGATGTTATAAAATTCTAATTCTTAATTATTTCCCCTTGAAAGACATCAATGCTCTTTTTTAAACAAACTTTAGTCCCCTTCATTTAAGGATGCTTTGTGGCAGGTTCAGTTGAAATTGACCTGGTGGTTCTTGATAAGAAGTCGAAAATATGAAAATGCGAAAAGACAACAGACAGACGCCGGATAAAATTTGATCAGAAAAGCTCACTCAGGTGAGCTAAAAATAATGAAAATTAAAATTGATGGCAACTACTGGTCTAATGGTTAAGATTAGTTTTAAATGACATAGAATCTTAAAATTTGCAAGAAATATTTATATACTCTGGGTTGTGCCCTTATTTCTAAATCTAATTAATTAATTGATTTTTTTTATTTAGAAAAACTAAAACATTGTAGAATACAGCACAAATTTTCTTTAGTATTTTTGCCTTGAATATATGAATTACATTAAACAATTCAATTAAAACATATTGATTATACATGTATGTAACTTTCTTATCTTGCTTAAATTTATTATTATTATTATTATTATTATCATTATCATCATCATCATCATCCATTTGCTCTAACCTTTTAGTACAGTAACTATAGTGTTCTTGACTGCATTTTTTAAATCATTTTTATAATCAAAGGGCAATATAACTCTGTTAGGTTAAACATATTCTGATAGTCAGTTTAATAGTCTCATGGATGTAAAAAAAATCAATTTATGCAGTTTTTGTAATGGTAAGATAAGATATTAAGATGACTATCAATTTACCTTTCTGAAAACTCCATAATTTCCCCCAGGAAATTGTACATAAAACATGATGCACACACAGGAGGTAATGGAGAATCGTACTGATTATAATCCCACTCATCTGTATCTGATGAAGACCACTCATCTGAATCTGATGAAGACCACTCATCTGAATCTGATGAAGACCACTCATCTGTATCGGATGAAAACCACTCATCGTCCATGGTACTGCTGGAAAAATTAAGCAAAATGTGACAAATCGAAGTAAAGCTAAACATTAAAGATGTGTAGCATGTAATTTTGTCTTTAGTTCATTTCAGGGACACGTACGCGAAGGAATATTGTAAACCAAAGTACAGTGCCATGCGTGGAAAATTTTTATAGAATTGAAACTTCCTGTGAGCATGATCAGTTATCAATTCAAGTAATTTAAAACAGGTTTCATGCGACAAAAGAAGGATATCGCTCTACAAGCTTATAATGCATTCATGAAATCTTTGTATACCAAAATGATCTTGCAATGCATAATAAGAATTCTCTTGAGAAGGTCATAGTACATGATTGCTTCCACCACATTATAAACGATATGAAATAAATTTTGACTTGCAATTGTTTTCAAAGAAAACATCATTTTAGTTTCATCATTTTTATGCCAGACTAGGTACATACAATAAATAGATTACTTAAAAAACACGTATGGCATGCTTTTTCAAAGTCTACGCATGTTTACACACTGTCATTAAATTTTGGCCATTGCTTTCAGGGCGATAAGGAGTTGATAGAGAACGACCATTTGACTAGGAAGGGGGAGGCTGACAAAATTTTTCGAGTCAGAGTTCTTATAAAAGCAGAAAGGTTTTGAAATATCACTCCTAGTTTGAAAGCAAAGGTACTTATGTGTTTTGAGATAAAATGTAAAAAGTGATGTCTTTGGTACCATGGTACCAATTATACCTGGTAAAAAACACAAACATTAGCCATTAACTCAACTTATAACGATGTAAAATATAAACCATATTATTTTGACATGTACATGTAATACTATGTTTTTGAATGCAAATATCTTGACCTTTTTTTAAAATCTTGTACCACTTTTTAAAGCAGATTTATGAAAACAGCCTTTTTTCAGGAACAGATTTATAGTATATTTATGTTTTAAAACTAAATGATTGGTGTAGGTTTTCCTTACTATTTATCACTATCCATGGTTTGGTCTTGGTCAAGCTATATTGTGTCCATTTTGCGGGTATCTTCAACTACACGCATCTGTTGTCAAGTACACTTACATTATATAGATATTACACATATAGCATATATTCATAGTTATTTGGAAGAAAATAAACAAGATTTTTGAAAGAAATTGTCAGAATTTGGTCGATGCTAATTCTACAGGATGTCATACATATTCTGTTAACCTCAAACATCTACTTATATCTCATTATAAAACTAAAATAATGGTCTGCTTTGTTAATTCACTTCCGGAAATTAACCAAAAAATTTTTTTTAAATAATTAATTAGTTTTGCATACAACTTGACATATTATCTTATATATCAATAAGATACGGAAAGATAAACTGTTACTACTAATATTCTACAGACTGAAAAGACTGAAGATGATTTTTGACCTCATTTTGATAATGTTTGATAAAGTAAATACATAAAAAATACTGGTATATTCGAAAAATTAGCTTACTTTTATTACCTTTATCTTGTACTGTGAATTTGTGAATAAATTTTCTACTTTCGTTTTAAATATCCGGAAACAGTAAACAAACTGTGTGTCACTCTGCTCATCATACCTGGCTTTATGTATTTTTATCACAATCAAAGCATTTTCGATAGTCCACTGAAAAGTTTTCAGCGCAAACTAAAATGTTCAGTTCAGAAAAAAATTCGAGGAGTTTATTGAAGAAACTTATGATTAAGATGTAGATACCTACCATTAAAATTCAAAGTACTATCATTTTTTTTTACTATTAATGATTTTTATAGCTAATTATATTGATCTTTTCATTTTGATTCACATACAGTGTACTAGGTGAAACACTGGCATCAAAATAATCCAAAGACACAATCCTTATAAATATACAGTGTATATAGGTGAAAATCATCCTAAACAGTTTGCTCCCAATTTTACTTTAAAAACAAACAATCTTCGGCAACTATTGTTCGTAAATTTAAGATAGAATTCTTCTACCAGGATCATGGCGATGGAAATGATAGATTGTGTAGGTTGACGATGTGTTTTTAAGTTTCCTTATTGACTACACAATTTAAAGACATACTTAATATATGATAAAAAGATAACGTTTGATGTAACTATTCAAATTAAAAAAAAAGAAACATTGGTAAATCGCAGTTTAGTGCTATTTAAACCTCTGATGCAATGTCTAGAACGTAACATATCGTATGTGCATTTTTACATGAAAGGTAAGGAATGTGTTACGGTCTTTTAAAAAAAGAAAATCAAGAGAAAAAGCGGGTATTTCGGTTAGCCAATATAATTTTAGTTAGATTATTATCTCGGTTTGGTAGTTTCACCATATTTGCTACCTTAATCTTGTGATTTGTATATTATTCTATTATTTTTTTTTACCATTCAAGCCTCATTTAAACTAAAAAAATTAATCTGATTTCAAGCATTTTTTAAACCTTTAAAAATATCACTCAGTGTTCGCATTATTTATTTTGTGTCTTAGGATATGCAGTGAAATTTATTTGATAGATGCATTTTTGCAATAAACTTTCCAACACAGTCTTTATGTTTTTAAATTTAATCGTTTTGAAAACATATAAAGAAATGCTTGGTAAGGTTCTCTTGTTAAGTTGTCAACAAACGATCGATAAATGTCATACGTGGTTAACTGAAAAGTTTTTATTCTCTGGTTGTTTACATTAGATCGTTTGAAAGTTAAACTGTATTTGATTTTTAAAGCAAACTTAAGAATGTGGCGTATATCCATTGTTAAAAACAAGCTTACAATAATAACCTTACTACTGTATATGCTCTAATTTCCAAGACCGATATAGCATTGCTTTTCTTCAAATTTGAATTTGGATCACAATTTTGAATCACAAGCTGTTACGAATTAATTGGCTAATAGATTTTAAGACGATGAAGATTTTTTTTCAAATAATTGTCCCAAGACAATGATGGTGCCAAATAGGGGGTAAAGGTAGTATGAAATATAATTTCTAGAAATAAATGGGTCACGATTCATTCACGCTATCCAAGTTTATTCAAGTCAAGCCCTTGGTGGCTGAGAAGAGGGATTCGGACGCATAAAGGGGAATAAAGTTTCAAAATGGGAATAAATTAAAATTATTTTTAAGATGAACAAGGCAACAATTAGTCATATTAGTATGCAATGAAATGTAAAGATAATGAATAGTAATCACATTACAGACTGAGAGCAGAGCAAACAGGGACTCTAGAAACTCCAAAGGTGGAATCAGGCGCTATTTTAGTCTGAATTATCTGACGTTTTCCAGGCTCTTTTTCACGATTTTGATATTTGACGTGCAAGGACAACAACAAAACTGGTGCCATTATGGAAACTGGAAATTTAGCCGCCTCAAAACGGAGGCAACATTCTTGGGTCAATTTTCGACTTTTACATACGAACCGAAATAAATGTCAAACTCACAACTTATCAATAGCACAATGCTTCTATTACTCACCCGCTTTTATGGTTTATTATATAAAAAGTCTGATGAAAAGATTTTATTAAAATGTAGAGGTTAGTTTTACTTTATTTCGCCAGTCCTGTATCGAAATGTGGAGGGATATTTTCGTTAAGCGACATTGGTGAGTCCTAGAAGATTGTGCTATTAAAAAGTTGTGAATATGACTAATTAGGTTCTCAAGCATCGAAAATCGACTCCGGTTGAAAGCGTCTTCATTTCCCATTTTCATAATAAGGGCGGGTTCTGACGAATCCTAGCACGTCAAATATCAAAATCGTGAAAAAGCCTGGAAAACGCCAGATTTTTTGGAAAAGTGCCATGGAGAAGTGTGCATTCCCTGTCGACCGGTATCTTTAAAAAACTTCTTCGATGCTAAATCAAAAATTCGTATTAAAAAAAAAAAAAAATACTCCCTCATTTCTAAATTAAAAAAAGATTTAATACTGCCAAATGTAATCCATATTAACTACTAGTATTCCTTATTTAAAGGATGGATTCCAATACAATCTGTGATGGGAGGATAACGGAAATATTGAGGAGAATCAACAATATAGAATCAACATTACATGACATGAAAATAATGATGGGTGTATTATTTAAACAACAAAACCAAAATTCAGATCCTTCTAGAGGTGAGACAAATGTTCCTTAACCAAACAAGAGACGAAAAGGATCTACACATTTTCCAGAATGCACAATGAAAGGTGATTTATGAATTTATCTAAATAGGAGAAAGACATTAGAATCTAGAAAATTCTAGAATTTAAAAAATTCTAAAATAAACTTTTCTATGCAAAATGTCTACTTTAAAAGAGATTCTAGAGATTATATGTGATAGTGCATTGCGTCTCCTGTATCAGTATTTTTATTCAAACTCAAGAAATTGGAAATTTTATTTTCAGAAAAGAAAGCCTAGACTCTAATTTTTCACCTGTATGTAGTCTAAACCTCAGAAATTATTAATTTTTTTTCTTTATACGAGAATTCTTAATAACTTTTTCTTTAATATATTTATGCAGTATGTTTCTTTTTGTTTTGAAAAAAAAAAATCCATTAAAATTCAGCAATTAACTGCTAGAATTCCATTTTTATTCAGTTTTGTTTCAAAAATAAAACTGAAAAAATTGAGATTTTTTATTTACAGAATATGTTCACAAGGAGGTGTTGCAAGAGAAATACCAAAAGATTGTCAACAGATTTGATTTTTCAAAAGATAATGTACTGGACAAACTTATTGAAGGTGAAGCAATTTCGGAATCGGACCACGAAGTCGTCCTTAAACTAAGTTGTAAGAGGAAAGATCAGAACCGATATTTGATACAACGTTTTCGTCGATATGACACAGACAAATTCAAAACATTTTTAGAATCTTTAAAGGAAGATTATTCCGACTTAGCGAGTGATCTGAGCGTGTCCTTTGAGGAGAAATTAAAGGAATCTAACAAAACAAAGTGTGCACACTGCACGATTGTACACACTGTTGATATTTCAGATGTCTTGGATACACTTTTTGAAAACAAGATAATCGATGATGAAATTACAGATCAGAAATTAAGGGGAATACCCACGGCTTCTCTATGGATACAACTTTTTCTCCAACTCAAAATTTCACCATTTCCAGCACAAGAGTGTAAAGACATCCTCGTTGATTCCCTGTATGCGAAATACAAAGATATAGCCGAAGTAGTCAAAGTCACCGAATTTGATAGAATATTTTCATGTTTCTGCAAGACTAGTAGTAGAGAGAGAATGTCGATTGCCAGTGACTTTCAGACTGATGGATCGGGAAGTTTGTCTGATGTAAGTTCATTAAGTACTGTGTATAGCCGAGATGGGTTACCCTGGACACTTACTTCACCAAGCATTGAAAAAAGCTCCAGGGACAAAAATTATTTCATTTCACAGACTTCCCTCGTCTCTCGAGATGACGTTGAACCGTTTGATCATGAAAAAAGTGTTTTTTGCAATACACCAAAAGAATCTCTATTTGATTCAAAAGTTAAAATGAAAAGAGATATTCATACGTTTTTAAAAAGAGAACCAGCACGAAGACATACAGTGGAAGTTACTGAGAATATTTCCGAATTTCAGGATAAAGAAGTGGGTGAATATGATAGATGGCAAACAAAGCAGTCCAGGGCAAAAGAAACTTCTGAATTTGATGTTTTGAAAAGAAAACTTAAATCAATTCCCACTCTTCAGAGTGGAACATCAAAGTCATTCAGCACACAGAAACCTCAATCAATTCCCACACTTCAGAGTGGAACATCAAAGTCATTCAGCACACAGAAACCTCAAAAAGGAACGTACACTTGCATAAATTCCCAACGATACCAGCAATCAATGAATATGGGAGAAGAGATGTTAATAGAAAAGGAAGGGACAGTCAAAGTTTTGCAAAATTTACAAAGCAACAATGATCGATACTATAGGGCTTCGGATCAATTGTCCTCATTTGATTATGATCAAAATTCCTTTGAAGATTTGCAGCTACTCCCTGATTCGATGCTGAAAGATACAGACAAAAGAACAAAACATTCTGTGTACAGAAGGTCCCCTAGATTTAAAACAGCGTAAACTACAATGCATTTCTTCAATGCTGTTCTTGACCAAATTAGGCAAACCAATTTTTATTCCCTGCAATGCACATGTTTCAATAACAAAGTTACAACGGTCGGATTATCGACTAAGCACATCAGGTTCGGGATTGACCCTCTCTTCATGGTATCACATTTAGTGGTGCTTAAAATTAAACCAGCAAAATTCCAAATTTTGAAGAAAGAGCATTTCTGTTCCACAGTACATATATAACAATAATGATGATAACTTTGGAGATAAATTTGAAAATTTACTTGGGTAATGTAGGGTGAGATTTTGGACGCTGAAACTTTATGCAGATAGTTTGAAAAACCAGAACATTGCTGTATTATGCTAAAGAATTTATGGATTTCTATATATAAAGCGCACTGCTTACTGTCAACTTCCACCGCCTACTGCTTACTAAGACTGCCTATGTTTGATACTGCGTATTGTGTTGCCTTTGATATGTAATGCAACAAATAAGAGTGCACTGATATTGATTCTGCTTGATCTTTGAATTTTTTTATTCCTCCATTTAATGCTCCATTTGATTCCTCTTAACTCTACCGAGCTACAAGCTCCATTCATTTCTTTTAATCTCCACTGAGCTACAAGCTCAAGTGAACTTTTTTTTATCAATCGTTATGATTTTGAATACCCTTCGCTCAGAGTTGCTTATGGTTCTAGAGAAGGAGTTCAAAATATATTATTAAGTTTGCAGACACTAAGACGTATAGAAAGACAATCAAACAGACAGCCTGAGGGTTGTAAAATTCTTCTCTAAACCAGTAGTTCTTGGGGGAAAAGCTTTTTAAAATGACTTTACCCTTTTTTTTTTTTAACTTTTTATTGATCACTTTCCTTTTAGAAGACATGACCTTTCTTTTAATAAGGGCAAAATAATACTCCATTCACCATTTAATCGATTATTATGTTGTTCTTTGCATTTTAAAAATAAATTCAATATTTATTTCTGTTCTGTCCCGGAAATATCAGCAAACGTTTTAATATGACACATAAGCAAAAGGACATCAAATCATTATAAGAAAAACTGCAAAACAAATATGAATTAGTATACTATAGTAATATTGTAATAATCATGGAAAATGTTTTGGCTGTGCCACACCTTTAGACAACACAGGTCCATTTTCATGCAAGTACAATGCAGGCCAGACAACGAAATCCAAATATCCTCCTGTTTTGGTATATTTCCTCAGTATATCTGTGTTAAATGTCGTCCCTTTTCCGAATTCAAAGCGGGCAAACACTGGAGGAAGACGGATTCTCATTCTCCAACAGAGATTTGCACATTGACGTGCATACAACTTTGTTTTGGGGGACACAGAAACGTCTAACTTCTTCTTCAAAATGGCTGGAAGTTTCGCAAGAAACATCTGAAAACAGAAGTTTTAACTTAAATCTAAGTTAATGTGAAAATTATTTTTGGCAAAACAAAATAAGTATTTCGTATCTAACTTTGCTTTACCTGCCCAATAATTGAAGAACAAGCATTTCCCATCGAGAGCCTTAAATCTGCTAGTGCTTTTTGTATAGAACTATTTGTACCATTGATCCGACGTGTCTGTAAATAGGAGAAAATCACAATTCAACAAGATGCAAAGTGATACGATAAAGATAAGTTATGCAATAGATAAGTGCCATGTTTTTGCTGATCAAACCTCTTCAGTATTTACATCCGTGAGTGTAAAGACTGCTTCGTCGATCCTGGTTTCATAATAATTCTCTGCTTTCATGCAAAACGTGTATGCCTCCTGATAAATAAAATAGAGATGGAGCCAAAGTTTAAGAAGTGTATAGAAGCAAGTAGAAAACAAAAATTGGAGAGAGGTTAAAAGACTAAGGACAAGATAGCAAAAAGAAGTTTAAGTTTTGGAGTTTTTATAATGAACTTAAACGCTAAATTTAAAATTTCCATCAACTGTTGTTAAAATATAGTATACAGGGTATAATTGTTTTAGCAGAAAATTCCAAAAAAGAAGGTCAGGGTTATTAGTTCAGTAACCAAAGATTATGGGAAAAGTCTATCAGAATACTAAATTTAAAAAAGTCCGAACTATCAAGTTTTAAAAGTTGTAGGGCAAAATCGGTTTTCCTTCGCAGGTATCAAAGGACAGGTTCATTGTCAAGAGCCCTGGACCTGATAGTAGAAAGTTTTGTTTTGTTTTGCTTTGCTTTTTTTTTTTTTGTTCGTTCGTTCGTTTGTATGTTTGTTTGTTTTTTCAAAAAATCTTTATTATGCTCAATACTCAAGATAAGCTTTTTCGTTTCAGCGATGTAGGTGTAAACTTGATTCTTTGTAAAGTTTGCGAAAGATCAAGATTAAGATAACAAAAAGTGTTAGCCCAATGCATGTATCATTAGTGGAACTCTATTAACAAGCCATGTGCATTTTAGGGTATCAAAGACACATATTTGGTTAGTCATAAAAAATGAGATAAAACCAAAGTTAAAAGAAAAAAAAATTAAGGGAAAGTTCAAATCACAAAGTCAGTATTTTTTTTTTTTTTATTTTTAAAGAAAATTTCTTATGTGAACTGCTCATGCTAAATACATGCATTACAGCCCTTTTCTCAACTACGTAGTGATATTGTGTAAATTCCATTACGCAATATTTTAGAAAAGTAAGTCAAGATCTAGTTTAATGTCACGAGGTCAATAATCATGGGATTTTGATAATCACTTTATATTAAGCTATACATGAGCAAAACATCAAATCCCTACGTCGTCTTACAATTCAAAAGATACGGGCTCTCACATACGAATAGACGGACAGACAGCAACCAGGAGAAGTTTCGTTTTTTCTGGGATGCGACACAAAAAGGAGACAAGAAAGAAAAGTTTAACTATCACATTTCAGTATGCGACAATAATTTTGAACATGTCTAAGAACTGAGATCAAGATATTTTACTAAGATTTTGTTTGAATAAAGTAAAATGATTTTATATCTAAACAAAATTTAACTATTACACTCAAGTATGCGACGATAATTATGAATTAAACAAGTCTAAGAACTGATATCAAGATATTTTACTAAAATTTAGTTTGAATAAAGTTATCACCTGTAATATGTTCAACAGGACTTGTATAGTTTCTTCTTCAGTGTTGTACGTATTCTTAAGTTCCTCAAAAGCGTCTGTCCACTGGTTGTCATACAACTCGGAGAATTTTTCTGCTATTTTTGTTGGACGATTGCTGTCACTAAGATCGGTTACTGCTGCATTACCATGATATAGCTTGGCACCAGCCACCTTGCTTAACCTTAATGTATTTACATTTTAAATCTTTTAAATATATTTACTTTAAGCGGTATTCTGATAGCTGAATATTAGAATGAAACATACTAATTGTAGAATACCTTGATAATGCATTGTCTTTTTCTTTACAAACTTCAGAGATTTCCTTTTGGAGTCGATAATTGTCATCTTCTTGCTTTAACAGTCTTTCTCTTAAACGCTGTATTTCCTCCTCTAATGTTTTGATGTTTAGTTCAGCTTGACTTTGCCTTACATTTTAAAAGAGCAAAAAATACTTATTACAATAACATAGATCTGGGTTGTAAAACGCACACTTTTATTGTAAAAATGATTCAATATGCCATTGTTCACAAACGAAATAAACAATACTTAAATGCATGATTTGAATTTTATGAAATACATGAATGTGTTTTAAACAAATTCGTCATGCTTGCTAAATTAATACAAATATTTGATCAAGACAATTGACAATTTCTTACATTAAGGTTTTATCTCGTAACTACAGTATAATAAGAAATCCATTATAATAATTTCAAAAGAGGAACATCAGAAAATTTACTTTTGATTATATACTGTGCTCATTGTCTTATATAACTGAGGGATAAATCCATTCAATTTACTTGAATATACATCTTAAAAATGTTTCTTAGTGAAAATATGTAACTGAGTACATTTATCTTATTTATCTATTACATTGAGTAAGTGGTTTTAGGCAGTGAAACTTATTGTTTTATATCTGTAATGCAAAGGTATCAACATAAGCACACGGTACTTTTTATCTATTGTAAAAATGTATGTCAATTAACTGCTACATGTATGTTGATTTGTATTCATGGGTCTTTACAATGGTTTGGAAGGTCTTAAGAATTAACCCAGCCCCCCCCCCCTCCCTTTGTTTTAGTTCCAAGTGTTCATCAAGTGAGACGCAAATAACATATTTTAAGTTTTTGTAAGAAAGGGAGTTGGGGTTAGATTTTGTATTACTTTAAATGAATGATGAATAAGCTATAAAGAACATATTTTTTAATACAATTTATATATAATACAGGACTCTTTAATCCATCAAGTATTCGTGACTGATGCTAGATCCAATATTAATGTTATCATTTATCTACCTTCGATAGTGAATTAAAAGTGAAAATATCATCAATATATGTTTCTCTTTATTGCTGGTGAAATCTTTAATTCCAATGCATATTTGGTTGATATTAAAATATCTGCTATTTTTAGTAATTTTCTTTTTAAAAAAAAAAACTTAATTTTTTCTGTTTTTGTCTAAGTTACATATATACCTTTGTAATGCATTTTCTTTTGCCCCTGATATGGTGGAAATGTGTGATTTATGCTTTTCATTTTCATACTCTAGCTGCAAAATAACTTGCTTCAGTCGGTCTATTTCAGATCCTGGTCTGTGTGCTCGTGAATCTGTCTGTTTCAGATGTGTTTCGCCTTTCCTTAAAATGAAACATACAAAAAGGCAATGTAAATTTAGGAAAGATTTACTAAAATACAATTTTGAAGAAAAAGAAAATACTTTTTTATTTACCGTTGGACTGGGATTTTTTCTTCTTTCAAACTCTCTGCCTCTTTCTCTAACGTATGAACTTCTTTCTTCAGGTTGCATACTTGCTCTTTCAAGTATCGAATCTCCGATGAATTTTGATCAGCAAGTTTTAATTTCTTTTCATTTTCTCTGTTATGTATAAATTAAACATGATCTTTTAAATACTTAAAAAGTAACTTATCACCACATACCATACAATACAAGACTTCATTCATTGTTGATAATTGGTCTATATTTCAGACTTCAAAGTTAATAAAGTTTCTATTTCTTCTTATTCTTTACGCAAGACACATTTTGGGACAACTTTATTTACTCATGTCAGTATTCAATTTTGTATGTGAAAGATGTTTACTGAAAGGAAGGAATACCCTTGTGTTAAAATTGTGTTAAAAGATTATTGCATATACATGATATTATAAATACACAATTATATTACAAAATATTGAGCTTAATTAATGAGAGGGGAGCACAATACTAGCAGCTATTATTATTCTTACAGAATTGCGGCCATGATTACTATACAATGAAAGAAATGGCGTGTCGTACACGGGATAGGCCACTTTCATAGTAATTCAATTTCATAATGATATCAGAAAGGAAATATCAGGGTTCTCCACAAGGGGTTTTACCATGGCGGCCCGCCATGGTTAAAATCGGCGGCCGCCATGATTAAATTTTTATTGCTCTTCAGTATTGACACATACTTTTTAATGACTTGAGTAATTAATTGTGTTTATACTACGACTGCCATGCACCTCTAGCGAATGGGGATTGTGCAAATCAAACACGGTAGTTGATCGGTGACTATGCTGTGAAGCGTGACAATGGAGAGTCAATCAGCTCATGATTAATACAGTGTTTACGGTAGTTCCGGATCAGTTTTCATTTATACATTGGTAGTGAAAATTAATAATGTACATATATCTTGAGAGTTAATTTTATTTTGTGAATTCCATAGTGTTCACGATACGATAACAGATTTACAAAAGATGACATGACGAGCAGTAACATGATAATCGACAAGCATCCCATTCAAGTTTCTGTGGCTAACTTGATTATATTTCTGATAAAATGTACGTAAGTGCCAATCGCCGTCTTAGTTTTAGAGTTACCTCCCGTTTTTATGAAACGTCGCGTGGCGCTATTTTTAGCACTACGCACGTGGAGAAGTAAACAATGGAGCAAACTCAGCGAAAAATGCAACAAGGTTAGCTTTTTTAAAAAAAAAGCTGAGAGTCAGCCACTGGAATACAGAAAGTTTCTTTCTTGTTTTGTGATGGTATATGATTTGTTTTATCCATCATGTGTTCATTAAAAGTCATTGTCGTCTAAGTTAAAATTCGCCCAGTCGTTTTCTTATTTGTAACATAATGCTGTACATAATAAATAATAAAGCATAGAATAAATTTTAGTTAGACTACATCGTGATCTTTATGATGACCTCCAATTAATTTCTCTTGGGCGCGGACATCAGATGCAGGCCCGTAGGAAGCAATTTCAGTTTTTTTTTTTTTGGGGGGGGGGGGCACAGCCATACATTTTCAGTTGGAGGGGCACTATTAACTACCAAAAATTCCTTGACAAGCAAAAAAAAATTAATTAAAAAAAAATAAAATAAAATAAAGGTCATCAGACGTTCTTATTGAGGGGGCACAAACATATAGTAGCTATGTTTTCTATTAATAGTAGTCTATATATCGGAAAAATTATTGGGGGGCACGGTCCCCCGTGCCCCCCCCCCCCGGTTCCAACGGCCATGAGATAAAGTTCATCTCAGAAATGAACAAAGCCACTATGATCCCAATCATTGAACGTTGAAGAATGTATACATTTTCAATTTTACTGTAATATTCTATAAATGATATAGATTATGATGCTTAAAAGGAAGGTAGACCTTGGTTTAGATTGTGTTAATTATTATTAGATAATAGTTTTTAATCGTGCAGGTTCGGGGCAATGCATGATAGGGGAAGGGGGAAGGGTGCATACTGTATGTATATTTAATTCAATTTTTAAATTTAAGCATTCATTTTAGTGTTATTAGGAAAGAAAAGAATTGCTTCAAAATAAAGTAATAAACTGGAAATTCAAAATATTTTATACATACAGTACGTATACCCTAAAACGATACTGGATTCCATCTCGCTCACTCTCTCTAATTGGGGGGGGGGGGGGGGGCTGTCTATAAATCAACGCAGTTTCTCTCAACTCTCAGATCAAGTTCTACTGCGGTCAGTTTCTCACCTGTGGGCGCGGTTCACGTGCACAAGCGGCACTTACATGTCTATCATCGTGTAAATTATAAGACTTTACACATCTAAAGTGATCTTTTGACGTTTTCATAACTCTCATCATTAAAGTGGAAAGAGATTCTTTTTTTTTTTAACTGTTTTGGGACCTTTGTGCAAGTGGATTATTGTGTGAATTCCGACCCGTACATGTCTTATGCAAGGTATTGATCGAGGGAGTCTTGCATCAGGCATTCAGAGGAATACACACAAATCCGTGAACTTGCAACGGCGATTGAGGGAATACATATCAAGTGTTAAATGTGCTCTGCATATAAACTTCTCATCTTCAATAAGAAGCACTGAAATATTTTCATAGTATCATATTTCTCACATAGAACAATCTCTTCTTTAATTTTTCGTCGAGAACGACGAAGAACAATGCAGTCTATAATTAGATCGAGGTCGCGTCTTTGTTTAGAGGGGGTGTTTGTGAAGAATCACGCCCTTTGGTTTGAGCAAATAGCACGAGTTTCGTGTACATCTTTTTCCCAGAATTCCAAATTACGCAAGCGCACTTGCAGTTTCATCCCACCGTAACTAGTCAGCCCGGGGGCTGACTAAATATGTAGAAAAAAGAACGTTAAGAAAAAACAGAATAGAGAATGCAAAATTACAGTAATGTCAGTTTTATGCCCCTGGTTATATTAAGTTATGATACTTTTACATGTATGCCATCAGTAAGTTTTTATAGACCATCCAGTTAAAAAAGCTTAGGCATTGTTAAGATGTCCGTGTTCGTTCGTCTGTTCGTTTGTGTGCATGTTAACTTTTTCTGGAATTCCTTCAAAACGTTCCTACAGTTTTGGTTCAATTATGGTACATTTGTATATTTTTTGTATATTTATATATATATATAAATAAAAAAATTTAAAAAAATTATTTATTATTTGCATAAAAAAATGTTGGTGATTTCAACTTTTTGAGTTGCGGTGGTTAAGTTTTGTGAAACGTATCAATGATAAATGAAGGTTAGAAAGTCTACATGCATTCGTGTTTTCTGTCACATATTTCGCCTTCGCGCAGGTTCCTCCATTGTTAAATTTTCAAATGTGGAGAACCCTGAATATGAGCAAAATAGTTGCATTACATGGAAGACCATAATTTTCATCCACCAAACAAAATCAAGTGTGACCATTGTTAACCCAGTATAAGTATATACCCTAGATGTTCCACTGGATAGTGTATTTCATTGTTTAAAGCTTCTACTTTCATTCCAATGTCATATTATTTGCATGCATATGTATAACAGTCTGTTTTTTTTCGTAGAGTTAATAGTTTTTTTTCCTTTTCCCCAGTACATTTTAATTTAACATAAACTGATTGTTTGCAAATGTACATTTCCTTATAAAATAAGAATACACATCTATAATAGATACAAAAGGAAATTAGAGCAAGATGCTAAGCTAAAAGAAATACTAGTACGTATAAGCTTAAATGAAATTTCCTCAGTGAACCGATTAATAGATAGTAGGTTTCTTGGAGATTTATGCAGAGTATAGCAATTCATTGGGTATTCATAACAATAGTGCTTATAGCAAAGTCGATACTTAACCCATATACGTGCGTGCCTTCAATTCATGTAAACAGGAACCTGTAACCAAGTAATAAAAAAGGCAATACAATTTTTGAGTTTCATACTTTCAAAAACCTTTCTTGTGAACCCTTTTTTCAGAAATTATTTTAAATTCACATCTGCTTTAACATTTTTGATGAGGTGGAAATGTTAGATCTACGGTTTTCGTTTTCATTCTCTAGCTGAAAAATAAATTGCTTCTGTCTATTTCAGATTCTGGCCTGGATGCTTTTGAGACTCTCTGTTTCAGATCATTTTTTTTCCATTTTCATCCTCAAGAGAAATAATAAAATGAAGTAGTGTGAAGGTACTGGAAAAAGAGAGTTGCTGAAATATTTTGGAAGAAATAGGTAACATATTCCATTGTGATCACATGCGGTCGATCACACTTGATTCCATTCTTGACATCCAGCAAATGTAATTATTTTCATAAACTTCATTAGAAGAAAAAAAAAATGACATGACACTGGAAAGTTCGCAAACTCATTCAACGCATAAAGAGTGGAATTAAGAAATCAGTACCATGTTAGCTATAACTGACTTACTTCTATTGAAGTTAAATATGATAAGCTAGTCTAGGATCTACCTTTGTAACGCAACTCTTTTTCCCCTTGATAAAGATGAAACTCTTTTATTTTCCTTTGATAAGGACGAAATGTGTGTTCGATATTTTTGATTTTCTAGCTGCAAAATTACTTGTTTCAATCGGTTTATTTCAGATTCTGTTCGCGAGTTTCCTTCAAATTCTCTTTTGAAAAAAGAAGAATGAAAACATTAACGAAGTACATGTATATCATAACAAGACGAGGTTCTTTTTCTTCAGAAGGAAACAAGATTTTGTTTTATTACCTATGAATTTGGATTTTTTCTTCTCTCAAATTGTCTGCTTGCTTTTCCAAGATGTGGATTTCTTTCTTCAGGTCATTAACTTGATCTTTCAGACATCGGATCTCAGAATCTTGATTGGTTTTCTTTAAATTCTTTTCATATTCTTTATTTCTGTATAAATTGAACATAAACACAATGAAATCATTCATTGTCAAATTGAATTTAATGATCATAATTACTGTTAATAAATCTTTTCACATCTACGTTATGCCTGCTTATACGACACTAAGGGAACCATTTTTTTTATGCCAGTTTGTCCGCCTGTCATGTAGTATCGTTTTTAAAACTGAAAGATTGGTGTTATAACAGGTAAATGTATTATACATATATATGCTGTAACCTACTTAACATAAAGAGATTGAAGTTCCAACTTCGTCTTTTCCTTATCTCTGATCAGAACTTTGATTTCTTCCTCCCTTAATTTTAGTTCTCTTGAATGCATCAGTGACAAGTCTTCTTTTTCCTGTAAACTATAACATTTTATTCCTGTTTACTTGCTTTTACCCTGTAAACAAGCATTTTGAGAGTATTGTATTAGCAATACTAGTCCCCTACCGGCAAGTGTAATCTGGTTCCCTTTAAGAATTGAAAATGTCATATTTCCGTCAAAAATCAATGAAGTGGAACGAAATGCAAACTTGATCTGTAACTCATCAAGATACACTCACATACGAAAAATCAGCTCAATATCTACAAGCATTTAGAGAAAAAAAAGTGCGGAAAACCAAGTGGGACAGACTGACAGACAGACAGAGGGACAGCTAGACTAACGGACAGACAGACAGACAGACGGACGGACAGACTCAGAGGAAACCTATAGTCCCCTCCGGTTTCACCGGTAGAGGACTAATTATTATCAGAAAACATATCGCGAAACACAATAATATAAACTTACATTCGCCTTCTTTTCTCTTCTAATTTCTTGTTCTCAGTTTTCAAAATTCTTACTTCAAAACGTAAGTTTTCCACCTCTAATTCTGTAGTCTTTTTATTGTCGGTTTGAGTTTTCCTTCTGGAAATGAAGTAGAAATATGCACAAATGCACTTTTACTGAAAAAATTGCATATCCTCTGAAATAGATTTGAAAAAACTTCCTGAAAACGACTACTACGTGTACTAGTCTAGTTTCCATCTCAGAATATTTCTCTCCTATTTTTGATATTTGTATTTTTTAAACCCTAAATATTTTTAGAGGTTTTTGATCCTGCGAAATAAAAAAATGTTTTTGTTTGTTCTCGTGAATTTGTTTTTTTTCCCTTCAAATAGCACAGTAGAAGGATCTTTACATTTTTGAAAGAATACAAATTAAATCATTTAATGTAAATGAATTTTATCAATTTTCTATATAGTCAGCATACTTAGAAATAAGCATTTTCAAAAATCAGTACATGTATACAATAATTAAATATTTATCTAAAACTTTTATTCCTGTACCTGATACTATGTTCACTATCAACTGTAAGCCAAAACACCTTTGATTGCTCCTCTTTAAGTTTATGTCTGAGTTCATCCAATTCCGATTGCAAACGAGTTACACCGTCATTCAGTTTTAAGATATCGCCATCTTTACTGTCAGATTCTGCTTTTGATTGTTCAAGTCTTTAATGTAAACAAAAAAATGATTTAAACGTAGTAGCAACTTCAAATTCAAAGAAAGCCAAAATAATTCAATAAAACAAATCTTGGAAGGTGCTGGTTCCTATGGTAAAATAAAACAGAAATAGATTATTCTGTACGTAATTTTATTTTTTTTTAATCATCCGTTTACGTTCTTTGTAAACCTGTTGTAGATTTTTTTTTTAAATTTGGTCCAGGTTTCCGATGTAAATAACTTTACGTCAATCCTTAATTAATTATATGGAAGCTATTAAACTTAACAATTATCCTTATAAATTGTGTCTGCTGTTAAGACATTAGCATACCTTTTTTCCAAGTACTCAATTCGTCCTCTCTGATCTTCGGAATTTTTGTCTTTTTCACATCTTTGTTTCCACTGTAAATCGGCGTTTTCCCTTAACCTACCACACAGATAATTGTAAGTTCATATAAAAATATTGAAACCACAGTATGCAATCCATTTAACAATTCATTTGAACATAATTTATTGTAATTCTGAAGTACAAAGGGATTGGACTAAAAGTTCTAAAATCTTGTAACGCAAAGAGAAAAGTCGTTAATTCTTTGTTGCCCTCGGTGAATCTATCCCCAGTGATAAAACCTGAATCTAAAATGTGAATTTTATCAAATTTTAAAAACTTATCCAAACAAATAATCGAATAATTAAAAGGAACTTACGACATTTGAAGTTCCGTTTTCAAACGATCGATCTCTTCCCTTTTCTTTTGTATAATTTTACAAAGAGGACCTGACGGTCTTTCAGTCAAAGACTTTTTTATCTCTTCTTTCTCTCGGAGAGAATTGTCCAAGCTTCAACAAAAAGTAAATCAGTTGTTAAATCAATGCATCAACAGTTTCAAATCAACTGAGACAACTACAAGTATACTAATTAATGGAAGAATGTTGTGAGACATATTCGAGACTTTCTATTTACTAATCTATATAAGTTTAACATTTTAAATTATTTTTATAAGTAATTCTATACGTATTCAGCAGATTTTGGTTTATTTCCAACATTCTGTCATTTTGAGACTGCAAAACTGAGCACAGAAAGCAATCGGGGGCTGCTGGGAGAACTTTGCTGCCAGATGTTCTGGAATATTCATCACAAAGTGGAACATTATTCCTGTGAAAAAAGATGAATAAGTTGGAAAACGAAAACATATATATATATATATATATATATATATATATATATATATATATATATATATATATATATATATATATATATATATATATATATATGAAATATCTTCAAAAACAGAAAGCTACGGTACGATTGGTCATACATGTATTTATATGGAAGCAAACTCAGGAAGTGTAGAATCAAATTTGTTCAAATCATGACCCCGTAGCTAAGGTGGGGCCTCAATGGGTGATCAAAGTTTTACATAGGAATGCATATTTAAATTTTAAAAAAAAATCTTCTTCTTAAGAAAAACGGCAAAGCCATGATTAGTCATATTAATATTAAAGCATCCTCAGGTATGTAAATTCAAACTTGTTCAAATCATGACCTCCAAGTAGTAAAGAGGGGCTACAACAGGGGATCAAAGTTATACAAAGGAATATAATGGGTATATCAATAAAATTTTTCTTCTTAAAAACAGCAAAGCCTTGATTAGTCAGATTTATTTAGAAGCATCATTAGGTGTTGTAGATTCAAGTTTGTTCAAATCACCCCCCCCCCCTTTTTTTCCCGAAAAATTTTTATATTCAAAATCTTCAATACTGAAAGCAATAAGAGCTGCATTTTTCGGGAATTTTATTTTGCTGTTAAAATGTGTTATTATGATAAATTTGTATGTAATTAAAACCTTTATGATCAATTAGACTAAAATAAAATATCAAATTGTTTTAGAAGAAGGACTTCCTTACAATCAAATATATATTATTATATAAGAGATTAATATTGTACAGGACGACTATAATGTAATTTTGCCTCAATCAAAGCTTATAAAAAGTTTTTTCGTCGCAAATATGAACAACAGAAGTTTATAAATGTTCTTTTTTTCTGTCACTGAAATAGTTAATTACAATTTTGCAACAAAAATTTCAGACATCAAAGTTGCAGCTCATTTTGCTTGAACTGATTTCTGCCTTTTCGTAGCCAAAATGTTCAGGTGAGCGATGTGGCCAATGGGCTTCCTATTTAGTGTATCATTTTTATACATCAAATGGTCACTTTCATATGCCGGCGTGGTATATATATAGTGGCCCTGCAGAATTCCTGAAAGAAGTATTACATTATTTTATCCAGGCCGTAAGTCTATCAATAATTGAGTAAAGAAAAATGAATGTATTTTTATTTTTATCAATTAATAGACAATTATAAGTATCAAAATCATGCCCACTGTAATTAAGTTATTCCTTACTCATTTAGGGCTGGGGGTGTATGTCTTTCCTCTCGTTCCCAAATAGGATAGCGTCTCATCCTCCCTGTATTTAAAAAATTTGCTCCCTGTCTGAAAACAAAAATAAAACACTGCGCTGCAGTTTCATTGTAGAGGATGATGATAAAGTTAATCCTCAGTCTTTTTTCTCACATATATCGAATTACATCTAATAAATCATTTTACAAGTTGTTTATGAAAAGCAGCGTAATGAAGACAAATTTTCACTTACTCTAAAACAATCTTCTATGGCGCACTTTTTAATTTATGCAAGAATCACAAGTGCAAAAAAGAAAAATAATTCGCAAATTTTCGCAAAATAAATTTTCTTTCTAATGGACAGACACACGACAAAGAATGTGATTTAGTCGATTTGAACAAACTTAGCAAAACTAAAAAGATCTATTTATTTGCCGGTACATTTGTTTATATATGTACACTCCCTCTTTTCAATATCACTATGCAGACTAAACAATACTATAGTGCTTAAGAACATGGAGAAACCCCTTCTAACTCCCTAACACATTGGTCTCTCTTGGTCTTTGAAGAACATATAATGTAAAAAAAAGTATGTTTGTCACATTTTTATTTATCTATTATTTACAAGTCTACCCAACCATTATAAAACTATGAAAGTACTTTTTGTATTATACATTAAAAATCTTTGTTTAATCCTTTTATACAATTTGATCTATCAATTAATAAAATTTACAGTAATTAATTATCAAAGATAAAAAGAAAATGGGAATAATTCTCTCAGTAGAGTACAAATTTCCCGATAATATCAATAGAGCCTTGCCCAGTACCAGAACATTTGACCCCGTGATCTGGCTAGAATATCACAAATCTGGCAAAAACACCCTTGCTCATTATAACTTTGTACCCTGTTTGCGTCCAAGATGCCCAAGAGAAGAAAATATCAAAGAATTAATGCATTTTTACTGTATACATGTTACCCATAGAGCCCCTCTTTATTACAATAATCCCAGATCCAAGGGCTATGAATTTCACAGTTTTGAAAGACGCATCCTGGTTCATTATAACCATGCACTAAGTTTGTTAGCTAAATACCCTGGGGCAGAGAAAGGTTTTTAAAGAATTTATGCATTTTACTATATGATTATCATAGCCCCGCCCTAACACAAGAATTTCTCAACCAGGGACCATGGATTTCACAATTTCTAAAGGGGTATCCTTACTCATCTTAACCATCCACTTAGTTTGCTTGCTTCATAACCAGGAGCAGAGAAGAATATTTTTCTAATAATGCATTCTCACTATATGATCATTCCAACCCAAGAACCATGACCCAGGGACCATGAAAGGTAAACGGTTGACAAACGACGGACGACGACGGACGAAAAAACATAGCAATAGATTCAGCTGAGTGTCTCAGGTGACCTAACAAGCGAAACATTGACAGTGAAAATGCTACTTACGTTGGTTATTATTATTTTTTTTCTTGCTACACACACCATAGACTACTAGTTAAAATTTAGTGCAAAACGAAAGTTAAATATTCCCCAGGTAAACCTTTTACAAAACTTTTAAAATAAAATGAAATTTACATTAACATATCAGATTTGATTATTTACATATAAGATTTGTTTATATAAAATGTAACTATGAGGACAAGTATCAAATGGTTTCGGTGATTTTTTACAACTTCGATAGTAATGGTTCCTTCCTAATCAAACTGTTAAATACTCTTTATTTCTACATACTTTGTCAACTTTTAAAAGGTTGAACTATCTTTTTACCTTATGTGGTTATCCTGTCAGGATTAAAGCCTATTTCTTTGGTTTGATACATTGTACGTATCTTTATATCAATATCAATAATCAAATTTTGCTTGACCTTAAAATCGATCAACTACGAAAGCCTTAAAGGACCAAATTTAAAGGTAAATGGCCAGACCATCTACAAATTACATGTATGTTATGAGCGAAATATGTAGTGCTCATTTCCTTAAAAAAACAAACAAAAACGACAATTAGATTGTAATAATCATGATTTCAGTTTTCGTTATTTTAATATATTTTTCAAGCAATGCAGAATTTTGTGCACTCTATTGAGAGATTTTATTCACTCATACTAATTCTCGATCTTTTTTGAATTCTTCTTTTAAAGTTTGTCCAAGTGTTGACAATAGATTTGTGGTTTTAGTTTATATTGGATGATCTATTTTAAATATTAGCTAATCAAGGTGAGGCATTTTTAATACATATTTCATTGTTGACTTTAATTAGCTTGAATTGGCAAATGACATGTTCTGTAGTGGGTGACCTATAATGACTGTTTCAAACAGGACAGGTTAAGGACATCTTCGACGTCTCTCAGAAGTCAAGAAAGAGATCTATGATCAAATTATTTAAAATTAATTGTATGGTATAAAATTCATAACGTATAGAGAAAGATCATGAATACTGTAAGTATACATATATTTGCCTGGAAAAAAAATGTAAATAAGCGTTTTATCTGGAGTTGGGGCGTCGTAAAGAGTTGATCCTTACGTCTCGGGTTCGATTCCACTGTGATGAGTGGAGACCGGTCCTTCGGATGAGACCCTATAAACCGACGTCTCGTGTAGCAGTCGGTGCTGGCACGAAAAAGATCCCTCACTGCTCAAATGCAGTAAGTACCGAGTACAGGTCTACATTTGCAGTCTTCTCGGCGAATGTTGGCATCTCAATATGAGTGAAAAAAAGGATGTTAAACAACAAAACAAACAAACAAAATACTGTCGTATAGAAAACCATTTATCATGTGTGTATTGATAGCAAATACAGTGCTATGGAAATCAGAGATAAACTCTCAAATTCTGAGTTTGTTCCAAATTAAAAAAAAAAAGAAAAAGAAAAGTATCTAAATCTTCAAAAAGATTTGTCAAAAATGAGGAAAATCAGAAATTGCTTTCACACAACATAACTCCTTCTGATAAAATAATACTAGCGTTAATATTTCGTTGCGTTTCCTACGGAACAAAACTGTTTGCAGTTCAGAGCAATTTCCTCCTTTTAAATGATATGCATATTATTAGTAAACAGTAACGATTTGGAACAATTTGAAAAGTGAAGTGGGAGACATATACCCAGAGTAGCAAAAATTGAATACATACGAAAAGACAGTACTAAGCATTATTTTGCTCCTTCTTTAAATTAATCAGTTATTACGTTATTATCGATTATCCACAGAAATCTACGAGGTCGACCAACTCTGTGAAGGGTTCTCTCTCTCTCTCTCTCATAAATATTATTTTTTGTCCTTTTATATATCAATGACCAAAAAAAAAAAGAAACTTGTTATCCAAAACAGTTTTTAATTAATATTTCAATATCGCTCATTAAATAAAGGATTACTTTTTACTTTATTTTCTACAACAACAATCTCCTTTCGCACATTATAGTGTATTATCTCTAAATAAATTGCATAACTCTATTAATTCTACTACATATTTTCACTAAAAAAATATATTTTGTATTGTTTTTATACCAATTAGCCATTATTGGGCTACAGAATTTTCTGACTGTGGTTCAACTGGTTTTTACTTATAAAGAAAAGAAACGTTTGGACTGATTGTGTATCAAGTTTTATTAAAATATGACAAACTCTGCGAGTAAAAAGAGAAGCGTTCTGAAAGTATTCCACAGTAATTTCTATTTTGTACAAATCATGTAACACCATCCGTTAAAATGAAGAAAAAGATAAATAGAATTATGTATCTTAGTGTCGTCTTCTTACGTAACTAATTTTTGTCAAATTGGAACAAACTGTAGAAGGTGCAGCGTCAAAGAAATTTCTTTTTTTTAAGTAATAATTTCTAGTAATCATGTCACCACCGTTTTACGACCTCATACTGCTGATAAAATTCAAATGCATCTTTGTGAAGTAACTAATTTATTAAGTTTTACTAATATCAGACAATTACATTGAAATCAAACTAAAATTGTAAGAAGAGTAAGATATTGAAAATTTCTTTTTTGAAAACAGACGACTGTCGGAAGAACGGCGGATATTTTATCAATACATAAGATTTTCAGGTCTCTGATCAGCAGAGCTAATGAAAACCAAAAGAAAATCTTAAAAGTTTATAAATCATCCACGATATGGAATTGACGGGATAAGAATAATTAAGGGGTATGCTTTGGTTGTGCCACTCCTTTTGACAAGACAGGTCCGCTCTCGTGCAAGTACAATGCTGGCCAGACAATGAAATCAACATATCCCCCTGTTTTTGTGTATCGCCTCAAAATGTCTGTGTTAAATTCTGTTCCCCGTCTGAACTCGAATCGGACAAATATTGGAGGGTCACGAATACTCATTCTCCAACACAGACTTGCACACTGGCGAGCGTATAGTTTTGTCTTGGAGGATACAGAAACGTCCACCTTCTTTAGAAAAGAAGGTAGTCTTGCCAAAAACATCTGAAAATGACAAAATTTCTGTATGTTACAACTTTGATTAGTAATACAAGAGAGCTTCACATTTAAACCAAATCCTATTTACTTTTTTATTAATTGTCTTACCTCTTCGACAATTAAACAACATGCATTACCCAAAGACAACCTTAAATCTGTAAGGGCTTTTTGAACTGGAACATCTGCACCAATGATCTGACGAGTCTAGAGGGGAAGGAAGACAAGCCATTTAAAATAAGAAAATGAATAATTATGCAAGCGTAAATTTCAAATACATGTATATCATAAAGAAGACATATTATTAACATTTGAAAGCGATGAATCCTAATATTACCTCTCTACTTTTCTCGTCAGCCAATGTAAAAACTGCCTGTCCTATCCTTGTTTCGTAATTTTTCTCTGTGCGGACACAAAAATCATATGCTTCCTAGTGGATGAAGAACGAAAAATAATAAATCTTCAGCATTCTTATCTTCAAAAATTGTTTGTCAAATGATATATGAAGTCTGTAAATAAATATAGGAAAAGTGTTATTGAAAATACAGAAACCTTCAAAATTTTAAGAAGGACTTGTATAGTTTCCTCTTCGTTGTTGTAAGTATTGTCAAGTTCCTCAAAAGCATCCGTCCACTGGTTGTCGTACAACTCGGAGAATTTCTCTGCTATTTTTGTTGGACGATTGGTGTCACTAAGGTCGGTTATCGCTGCATTACCATGAGTTACCTTGGCACCAGCCACCTTACTTAACCTTAATGTAATAAGTATGGTATACAGTGTATTTACATTTTAAATCTTAGAATTTTTTTTATCTCAGGCAATTATTTTCGAAAGGTGATGATTGTATAATTACGGAAGCCGGTTGGTGCCAGGTAGAAAAAATATTTTATCTGGTGACCGCAAGATATGTTTCTGGCGGCCGGCCGCCAAATAATAATCTGGCGGCCGCCACATAAAAAACTGGCGGTCACCAGAAACTTATCTGGCCAGAAAATTATTTGGAGGCCGCCATATAAATTTCTAGCGGCCACCAGTTATTTATGAGGCGGTCGCCAAATAATGATTTGTCGTACAACTCGGCGGCCGCCAGATAAAAACATGTACTAATTAAAGAATACCTCGTTAATGCATTGTCCTTTTCTTTACAGACTTCAGAGAGTTCCTTTTGGAGTCGATAGTTGTCATCATCTTGATTTAACAGTCTTTCTTTTAAACGCTGTATTTCCTCCGTTAATGTTTTCATTTTCAGTTCAACTTGACCTTGCCTTACACGTTAATATGACAAAAATACTTATTTTGTGCACATGGTACATATAATACAAAAACATGCTTTGCTTTTCTAGAACATACATTTCTATAATTAAAATAATAAAAGTTGTCTTGGTTAAAAAAACGAAATTAACTGTACTTAAATGAATGAATGAAATTAAATGACATGTGTTTTGAACAAATCATTATAATCACTAAATTAATATATTTGTTCCAGTGTATTGACAATTCTTCACATCCTAACATGTAAGTTTTATTATCTTGTAATAACGGTATGGTTTGAATCCCATGATATTAAATTTTAAACTTGGAACATCAGAATGTTTATTCTTTATTTACACTGAGGTATTTGTCTTCTTTTTAGTAAATTAGTAAATTAGTATGTGACATTTAAGGAACAAATCCATTAGATTTACTAGCAAACACATCCTAAATATTATAAATGAAAATAGTTGTGATACATTTTTTTAAAACATCTATTAGACTGAGCAAGTATTTGTAGGCAGCAACACCTATGGTATGTTAATTTATATATATATATATATATATATATATATATATATATATATATATATATATATATATATATATATATATATATATATATATATATATATATATATATATTCGTACGAAAGAGCTACCCCACCACCCCATATCCCCAATTTGATTTTTGTAAAATTATTTGATTCTGCGAAAGAATTAACAAAATTAGTTGAATATATTTATGATATTACTATCAAAATATTAACTTTTGCTTGGGCAAAGGAGTCTTTTTATATGGGCCGATGTGTCAAAAATCTCGGGCCGATCTGTCAAAACCGAGGTATCACAGGTGTCGCTGGACCAGATAATGATAAGTATATTACGTAGGGGATTTTGTATCGTTTTTCAATGCAATTTTTATACTTGTATAATACTGGACATTTTCACCAATCAGCTACTCATTGCGGATACTTTAGATCCAATACTTATGAATTCATATATTTAGCACTTACAGTGATTAAACGTGTAGATATCATCAAGACATGGGTTTTTTTTTTTCATTATTGTTGGTAAAACATTATTTTGTTACATATCTAGTTGATATGAAGATAACTTCAATTTCAACTTTGTTTTTTTTTTATCTTAAATATCGTTTGTTTAAGTAATTATACCTTTGTAATGCATCTTCTTCTTTTATCCTTATGGCTAAAATTTGTGATTTTTGTTTTTCATTTTCATTCTCTAGATGCAAAATAACTTGCTTCAGTCGCTCTATTTCAGATCCTGGTCTGTGTGTTTGTGAGTCTCTTTGTTTCAGATCAGTTTTGCGTTTTCTTTAAAAGAAACAAAAAAAATTAGGCTTTGTGTAGATATTGAGGAAAGATATGCTAAAGTATAACTACGGACACAAAAAGAAACATTTCATTTTTACCGCTGAAATTGGACTTTTTCTTCTTTCAGTCTTTTAACTTCTTTTTGTAATGTATGATTCTGTTCCTTCAGGCTACTAATTTGGTCTTTCAAGTATCGAATTCCTGAAGAATCTTGATCAGCAAGTTTTAACTTCTTTTTGTTATCGTTGTCTCTGTGTAAATTTAACATCGTCACTTTTATAAAGACAATAGTGAGTGAGCACATACGGTAAAACATAAAACTTCATCCTTGCAATAATCACTGTTGCGTTTCAGGCCGTTTTGGCTACAATTTTTGCATTTTTGTTAATGAACATTACCAATGAAAGAGACGACCTGCTGCACTGCATAATTGCATTACAGTTTTGGATTCCTAATACTATATTTTTTCTTTCCTAATTCAATGCCAACAGTTTGATACATGCATCATGTACATGATCATATTCGATCCGCGAATTTTATTGACTCGTGACTAAATATCCGTATCCAGTCAAGAGTACATGGCTTTTCCACCTCAATACTACAAGGGGGGATTAATATTCTACTGTTTGTCAATGCAGTTTCTTTATCTTTATGCGGAGGACTAGGCGTCCAGAACTATTTGAAATATACTAAAGAAAATATACTTTCTTGTATATTTTCTTTAATTATCTTCTCTGGCGAATCTTTATTTTCCCTTGGTTATATATCTACATTAGAATATTTGTACATTCAGTGACAATCCCCCATCCTTAATCCCTACAAAATATCATTATTTATCCTGGCCTCTTTTTATTTTCATGTTTTCTTTATTACCAAAAGGACTTGAATGCCAGAAATTAAAATAAAATTTACAGATTCGGTGGTTTTCATCCAATGCTACCGTTTTAGTCATTTAGTACTGTAGTCGAAACTGGATCTGCTGATCCTTTTTTCAACAAAAGATTTTGCAGAAAATAAAATTGGAATATTTTGAAAATTACGATCGCAATTTGTTATTTTTTTTACCACATAACGATATAAGATAAAAATATCTCTACAAAACTTTAATTGAATTGCTTTAAATATTTTCTTGAAATAAAAAATAAAATCTATTTTTGTTTAGGTAATACCTATGAAATGCATCTTCTTTTGCCTTTGATAAAAAGGGAAAGTGTGATCTTTGATTTTCATTTTCTAGCTGCAGAATGACTTGCTTTAATCGGTCTATTTCAGTTCTTGTTCGTTGTGCTTGAGTGTCTTTCTGTTTTAGCTCTGCTTCAAACTTCCTTTTAAGGAAAAGAATGATCTGATTAATGAAGCATTTTATAAAAAGAACAAATTTTTGGATGCCTTCAAGGAGAAGAACGAACACTTTTTTTAAAATTATTATTATTACCGTTGATTTCGGATGTTTTCTTCTCTCAGATTTTCCGCCTGCTTTTCTAACGTATGAGTCTCTTCTTTTAGTTCACTAATTTGCTTGTTCAAGTTCCGGATTTCTGAGAAATGTTGATCAGTTCTTCTCAATTTGTTCTCATTTTCTTTGTTTCTGTATAAGTTGAACACAAAATCTAATCAAGTAATAGTTAATCGAAATTTACATACAATCTGTTTTAATCTTTCAATTATTCAAATTACTATTAAGATATATGGTTAAAGTATACCAATTAGGGAGTTAGCAAGATTCAGGTTCCCCTTAGCCAGTACCATTTCCCTAGGCAAATCCAAGAGTAATTATTCTGGTTGAGGAGAACTGGAATTTTCCTTACTCACTCTTCAATATACTTTTAACTCTTAAAAAGTAAAAAATAAATAGAGGATAACGGATAATCAGGGTTTAGCTTTCGAATCAGGGATTAGCTCATTTGACTAATGCACGGCAAAACAGGAATTAGTCCATTGACAGCGATTTCTGAGAAATCATTCACATCTAACGATCCCAATTTTATATAGAGGAAAAAATCAGTAAATGTATAATAAATCGATATAACATTCCTTTTGAATTGATATCCGTGAGGTGCTGATACATTTTTTTCAACTACATGTACATCTGTTTGCGTCATATGTGTCCTTGGAAGGCTGGAATGTAGTATTATCATATTTTGCGTGAATATTGTTTGTATCAAGACCTTATAAAAGTATTGGAGTAATTAAAACCTGTCGACCCTTCACTAAATTTTCAAAGTATACTGTCAAAGTAGTTATTTTACTCAAGTCACTCTTAGAAAACACTGGTTCGATTATGAACGCTTTTTAAGTGAAAGCACTTATTGGGAAAATACTACCTGGGGATATTAAATTGTGGAGCAAGTTCTACACTCGAAGACACATTTGGGGACACTAAGACGATCGGACTATAACATACAAAAAAGGTGAGATTCGGTGTTAAAAATAGAGAATTCGAGATCCATGTCGACAGAGGTTTTACTTGATGGTTATTTATTCATTTACGCTGTATTAGGAAAAGTAGTATCCATTGTTACAAGTTTATCGACTCATTGAGAAAGCTAGTAACACGTGAACTCCATTGTCGATGTATAAATTCTGTATATCAAACATCCAAATATCGGAAATTTTTGGATTGGTCAACGTTCCTTATAGCAAATTAATTCTGAGTTGTAAGAAATTTATTTTCTCGAATTATATAAAGAAAGTAACCTATGAAGTTGTAATAAAGCCTTCAATTTTTACATCTTTGTGATATTGATCAACTGTATATATATTTTAAAAGCCTAACTTTATGTGAAGAGATTGAAGTTCAGTCTCCAAATTTTCTAAATTTTTCTTCCCATCTCTGATTTCCTCTTCCCGTATTTTCAGTTCTGTTGAATGCACCAATGACAGATCTTCTTTCTCTTGTGAACTGTAAAGTTATAATTCCAATTATTAGCTTGTACTTGGTAGGTTCTAACTTGAATACTTGTTTTTAGCACATAGCATTCTAGTATGTTGTACATAAACTTACATTTGTCTTCTTTTTTCTGCCAATTTCTTGTTTTCGGCTTTCAATATCTGTACTTCGAAGCGCAAGTTTTCAACCTCTGCTTGTTCTGACGATTTTGAATTGTGAATGTCAGTTTCACGTCTTGAAATGAAGTTTAAAAGTGTGCTTTATTTTACATTT